GTAATGTACGTAAAAGGATGATACCCAATACGCAAAAGGGGAACACGTCGCATCAGTGCACGGCTACCAACTAGGCGAAGACGATAGCTCCCTCCGCATTGCGGCCCTTTTTTGCTTTTTCATAAGTATTTTCTTGAACACATGGATTGTGCCATAAAAAGAGTAAGAGTATTGTCATCTGCTCCTCACACCCTTTCCTCTCTTTCCGCTTTTCGTTCCAAGCAGCTATTTGCTCTACAAGGTAGTGTTGCGGGGGGGGGGAGGGGGGCGAGCCCCAAGCCATACGGCTCCTACAGGATCTCAGCTGAAGAAGCTGAGATGAAGACGCCAAGACTTGGTATAGACATTGAGCCAATTAACCCAACCCTACACACAAATGTACAGGGTTTTTCGCCATGCTGGCTTATGATGCAGTACTTGGCATATACAGCGAAGCACACACACACACACACCCAACTTGCACGCCAATGTTTGTTCCAGAGACACCAAACATTTTCAATAAGGTTAATTATTATCCATTTTCAACAAATACAGCGTACATGAACGTGTTCTCCGTGGAGATTCCGTGTTTCTGTTTTTGCTTTTCTCTACTTTTCGAAAAACATTTGAACGAAAGGGAAAAAAAAGTAAAACAAATTATGTCAGATTGAATTTCCGCAAATGCGTGATGCCTAATGCCCCGACCTCAAGCCTTGGCCTCAGCCTCATCGCTGGTTGTGTTAATCTTGCGAATGTGCTCCTCGCCCGTGATGCTCTCATCACCCATATCCCAGTCTTGCGCCAGATCCTCGAGCGTTCTGCGCTTGGTTTCTGGGATAAGCAGTGTGGTGAAGATACCGGCAAACATGAAGGCAGAGAAGATCTGCATGACATGGTTGAGCCACGGGCTGGGGTTGGCCTTTGTAGGGTGGCCTCGCGTTCGCAGCGGGGCAATGGCGCCCTGAGCGATGATGGAACCAATCTTTCCTGAGCCGGCTGAGATACCGTGAGAGGTAGAGCGGTAGCGCGTGGGGAAGCATTCTCCTGGGACAATGAAGGTGGTTGTGTTGGGTCCCCAGTTGAAGAAGAGCTGGATGAGGACGTAGATGGCAAGCATGGCATGGTTGCTGAGGTGCTTGTAGGCGAAACCCTGGGATAATGTTAGCTGTGGTGCTTTGTTTTTTTTTGGCAATTGATTATGTTTTTTTGTGCATGCGTGAAACGTACCCAGATGACAAAGAGGATAGTGAGGAGAGTAAAGCCGATAAGTTGAAGGGGCTTGCGACCAACAGTGTCAATGGTTGCAACTGCCATCCAGTAACCTGGAATGGCTCCAGCACAGATAAGGATGGCGTTACCAGCAGCAAGGTTGTAGAGCTTGTGGTACAGGTTTTCACCGTTGGCGTAGCCAATAGCCTGCAACACAGTCGAAGAGTTCAAACCGAGGCCATAGAAAGCGACATCAAGAAGGAGCCATGACATGGCAGTTCCAAAGAGAATCTTGCCGTTGCGAAGCTTTCCGTAGAACCTGAAGAAGTCCTTGAAGGAAGCCTTGGGAACTTCGAGCTGCGCAGCCGACTGACGGCGAGCAGCGACTTGGGTGATCTCATCGACGTTGCCCTCACCATGCTTGCCAGAAAGATATTGTTTCGCATCCTCGTTTGCCTTTTCGACATCACGAGCGACATCGAAAGTGTAGCGAGGCGTCTCCGGAATAGTAAGACGGTAGTAGAGGGCAATGCAGGCAGGAACAATACCGAGTCCAATGAGAGCACGCCACATCTGATCAACAGCGACCTGGCAGTCACCAGTGCAGGTATCGTAGCCACTGGCCTTGACAAGCTTGCTCTTGAAGCCGGCGACGAGGCACAACATGACGAGAGCACCGCCAAGCTGACCGAAACCCTGCATGGCGAAGACAGCGCCCATCATAGCACCACGCCACTTGGTGGTAGCGAACTCGGAAGTAATAATGGAAGACAACGGGTAGTCACCGCCAATGCCTTGGTACCAGTTAGTAGTGAAGGATAAAAGTTACATGAGAGACGTACCGATGCCCATGAGCACACGCCAGAAGATGATGAGACCAACAACTGAAGTTCCTGGGCCAGGACCAACGAGAGATTGTGCGAGAGTTGCAACAATGATCAGGATCAACTCAAGACCATACATCTTCTTACGACCGACAATATCAGCAAGCGCGCCGAAGCCAACTTGTCCAATGACCGTGCCAGCCGAAGTAGCCAGCTTGATGGCCGTATCTTGCTGGGTCAAAAGAGTACCCTTATTGTCGTGCTTGTATACGATACCCAGCATGATGGTCAAGAGGGATACGCAGAAAATGTCGTAGCTGTCTGTGAAGAAACCAGTACCAGCAACCAGAATGGCGCGTACATGGTACCAGCCGAAGGGAGCCTTGTCAATCTCGGCGAGAGCAAGACGTCGGCGCTCATTTGGGTCTTCAATATGCTACTCCAAGTCAGTGTTTTGCTGAAAAGGGAGGTTGGTGTGTAGTAGGTGCACGAACAGCAAAGTCGCTGTGATGATTGTTAGTAGGAGAAACATTTCAAGGGGCAGAATATGCAGGGGCCGTACTTATTGAAGTTGTGGAAGGCGGAATTTCCGCCAGCCGTCTTAGCAGCCATTTCGAGGGCTTAGCAAGTGCTTGTTTTGCTGGCCTCGACAAAGCTTGATACCGCAAAAGACGGGTGAGCAAGATGAGGGCTGCTTTCCAAAATAACCAGGCCAAGCCTTATACTTATACCCAAGCTCTCTTGTCAGGATGCGCGGCATGCTTATGTTTTGAAGTGAGCACTAGACTGCAGCCAATCTAAGTGTCAGATTGAAGCACGCGCGGAAGGTTTGCCAAGATATCCTCGGGCATGCCGCTGCAAATGGCGAGAGAAAAAGCCATTGTGTAAATCCAGGCCGTAGCATGGCACTCGGTATCAATGAATGGCGCAACCGCTGAGTCGTTTGCTGGGATTCCCGTATCCTGGTAGTTGTGCCGGTGGGGTGAGGGCGTGTGGGCCATGGGTGTTGTAGTCCATTCATTTCCCCACGTGGCCGCTAGGAGGGATGCTTGGCCAGAACGCTTTCTCCCACCACGATGCCTTTGCCACAACATGGGGGCGGAGGCTTATTTGCAGCCCAGGCCTGCGACAAGGAAGCTTTGGGCTATTGGCATTTGCTTGAGACGTATGCGTAGCCATGACATCCTTAGCACATGGTCGATCCCCGATTGACAAGTAACGCATGTTTCGTCAATGGCGCATCTCATCAAACTTAACACCACGTCTCTCCTTCTCGATCCGCTGCACAGCTTCCGGATGCTGTATCAAGATCAATGACCCAGCCGAGACCTCTCTTTTGCGGGTTAGGCAGTCTGGCCTCAGGGTTGCCTGTGGGACCCGCATATCCGGCGGGTTAAGAACTACAAAGTAATGGCCTTTACTGCCCGGTAGTATGATGGTCCCACGGGTCCGGCTATCGTCTCCTAATTGGATACCGCCAAGATGTCCTTGGCAAGGGTGGGCCGTCAGCACCGGCGTATTCCTCCATGAGGGTAGCAACGCGGGATCATGCTGCACTTCTCGAATGTCTGGCATGATATTCTATTGGGGCTTGGACAAGTATGAGGGTCCCAAGCACGGAGTAGCATGTTCCACAAATATCGCGCCCAATCACACCGCTGCACGTGGGATTCAGTTGAGTTACCGAACATCTGAATCTGCCGCAGTAGCACACGGCAGCTGACAGTGTTGCCCACCACCCCTGCGAAGCATGTCTTCTAAAGCTGCAATAGTTTAGTTTTATGCAATCAGACATCCGGGAACCGAGTTGATGGGCTTGGAGCCTTTTTAAATACCGCCAATGGCCCGCCCAGAAGGTCCGCATCCAAGTGTCAGCGTCGGATGGATGGGCTTTCTGCTTTCACTTTGTCCGCTCCAGATGCCCTTGAAAATACCTCGCCATGAAACACCAGAATTTCCATCTCCAACTTTTAGCCTTGGCGCGCTCATGAGGTCCCCCTAGGAGAAGGCCTCCGGATAGTCAGCATGAACTCTTGTGTGTTCACCTTTTGACTGGCCAGCCCAAGGTGAGGTCGAGGACATGGTCTCGTCTTCTTTTATGATATTCTTCTCCAAGAAGATCGGTTGTATCTCATATGGACTATGTTGACTTAAACGTTTGCTCGTCTGGTTCGAAGGAGAAGAGTGTCGAACTCTCCTTCAACGAAGTTGCCGTAAACGCGTTATTTCCCCACAAAGTTTGGCTTCTTAATGTCCTGACTCCCCGTGTCTCCGTTTCGAATCTTGCTAATACTCCAGACTGATGAGGCATTTTTCAGAGTACAGGGTAGATGGGTTCATCACTTGAGTGCAGCTGTATGCGGAATCTTCGAGCCCAATGTCTGCCCCTTTCGGGATGTAATTTGGCTCTTCTGACGTTTCAAGAGCTTGCTCTAATTGTGTTGAGTGGGGGATGGTGGGCTATTAGTGTGTCAGTTTGTAATGAACCGCCTGTGATAGGTTCAGACAAGATACGCAATAATCGAGGTAACATCGGCTACTTCTGCAATGACGATGAAACGAGATGGAATGAAGTGAAGTAAAGTTTACCGGACTATCGAAGACGCTTTGTCGCTTTGTCATCTAGACCGCATGTGAGCTCTTGCCTTGATTTGCTGTGGCGTATGCGGCATTCTCGCTAAAGAGAAAGAAGAAATGGACTGATGCCATTGTTGTTGAACAACGGACAGTGTGTGGGGTTATTGTGGAATCCGCGCAGCGTGCCTTCCCAATCTAATAAGGCCTCTGACCCTTTCACTTTCGGGTATGTCCGCTTCTTCACTCAGTATTGATATAAAGTATCACCCACATGCGGCGTTCGTATTCCCTGAAACAAAAATCAAACTTTATTCATCTTGACAATCAAACTCTGCTGCTCAAGCACGAGCTGCCCAAGAATCAAGAACCTGAACACGTGTCTCACTGACGGCAGTCCCATTTTACTTACTCTCTTCCTAACACAACAACCTCGCCTTCTACGGTACTGTCACTACTAACATACACTCTCCCCCACCTATCCACTGCCAGGCCAACAGGGCGAAAACAGCTCATCTTGGAACACATATCCACACGCTCATTCCACAAGACATCTTTCCATGCCTCAGTAGCGTTGTTTCCTCCAGTCGGCCCGAAGCTTCCATCTGCCTGCCCAAACGGCACCTGAACGACCTTGAATCCCACGGGCGGATCGCGGTTCCAGCTCCCATGAAGAGTGACGTATAGAGCAGAGAAATCAGTGTCAAACTTTGCATCAAGTGGTGTCGAGTGGGCGGGAAACGCAACACGAGGCGCTACACTACGCTGTTTACATGTGTTGTCGGTGAAGGTAGCATTGGGCTCTAACACAAACTGGTCGCCCACAGTGAAGTTTCCCCCGGGAATAGTTGAGGGAGAGAATACGGTGAAGCAGGTAGGGTAACCGTACCAGTCCACATTTTCCCGGGATGGGTCGCCGATGTAATTGAGCTCGTCGGCGGGGTTGTCGTTATGAATGTCAGTTGAGATGCCGTTGATGGTACGGTGCAGTTCATCGGCAGAATTTTCAACGCCCCAAAGGTGCGATGCTGCGTCAAAGGCGAGGCCAACTTCGTTGCGAAGGCCATAGCCAAGTTGAGTGCCAGAGGTGACATAGTCGTATCCACCAGGCGGTATGGCTATTGTGTCGAAGACTTTAATGCAAGCGCGCCCAGTTTTGATGTCAAGAGAACCATAATCGATATTACCATTTGAGCCGTGCGAAACAAGGAGCAAGTTTGGATAGTTTGGTGGGATGCTGAGCGATCGCGTGACATGGCCTTCGATATCCATACCCGTTACTATTGGCGTCGAGTTTCCTGATATACTCATTGTCGCTGCGTCATATGCCCAAGCGAAAACCGAGGTCGCAGAACTGGCATACAGCGTCTTACCATCCTGGCTGAACACGATTCCGTGATTGAGATTCTGCTGTGCAATCACTATCTTGGGAGCCTCAAGACACCCGTTTGGCAATGCCTTGTGCGCAGTTATACCAAACCCATTTTGAACCACCAGGAGATTACCAACACCATCGAAGGTGATTCCTCGCGGTTTTATCAACCCTCCCGCAACTTTTGTAGCTCTCCACTCGTTAGCGACGTCCACAGGAAATGCGAGATTGGAGACACCACCACAAGCCGTAGGGATACTCGTATTAATTGGTCCGCCTGACACCGAAGTAGTCGCATCCACAACTTTGCTTGCTGGGAGCGCAGAATGATTTGAAACAGGCGTTGGAGGCTCTCCATATACTGTACTTGGTTTAGATGTTGCAATAGGTTGGGGAGGGCGAATCACATACCAAGGCCTGGAAGGATTACTAGCCATAGTTTAAATATACACATAGTAGGAAACAGGATATTCGCTTCGAAGATGCTTCTTACATCAAATGATCCGGAATTTCGTGAATTTATGATTCCGTGTGAATGGCTAATCGTGTGATTGCCTCGTTCCTGGATTCATTCGAAGATTTATGGGTAATGGTTATGCTCAGCGCGACAGGCAGAGAAATTTGTGTCCTATCTACATATACTGCTTCATTTGATCCGTTTTATACAATCAGTTTTTATTTCATCATCTCTTGTATAGTGCAGAATGACGTGCCGCTCATGTCATGTGGAGGTTGTGGGGCGGAAGACACCATGATGTGTCGTCTGCCGAACATGTAAATACTTGTCACAGACGGAATCTTTTTCCAAGAAGAAACCGTTTCGTTGTTTTCTTTGTAAACGAATACTAATTTTGGGGTCCCCTGGCTTTCGAATCGTCATTTATCATCCCCGAAGCCACATCCCAAGACAAGTATCATAGTGACACGGGTAGATAATTCCAAAGATGTCCCCACATGAAAAGGTAGAGAACTCTGGGCTATTTCGATTCAAAAAGGGCGGGACATGTGATGAAAACGCAGTTGCCGGTTTTCATATTGTGCTCTATTGCGAGACATTTGGCAAAATAGGGGTGTACATGGTTGGTTAAATGAAGCAGTGACTTTAGCCTTGGAAAATGAGTGACATCTGGGTGATGATAACAGTCATTTCGGTGTGCACGGTTGATTATATACTGCAAAATTGATCGTGATCTAAAAGGCAATGATGGCTTTCGTTCCAGTGGGGCGATTGTGGAAGGCAAGTGTCGTAACGTGGGCAGATGTCTATGCTGTGTCCTGATCGTGCACACGTGACCTGTTGAAAGCATCTTCCCTAATGCATACACTTGAGCAATGATAGAGAGCCTTGAGCGTTGTCACATTCAATCATAAACGATAACCAAGATAGTCCCATACACATTATCACGATAGTTCTTAGATAGGAAGTTGCTGAAAGCGAGTCACACACAGACGATAAGCAATGGATGAACTGCGGCATGGGCCGTTTCCGCTTCCCCACGTTCTCCGCATTTTGGATGCCGAGGCTTGAATCCCTCAGCGCCACCAAACTTGACGCTGTTCGTACCATGCGAACATGTCGCGCTGGAAACTTCTCGTTGTCGAGCACTCTGACTGTTCTAGAAATTGTCTCTGCAGTACAAATTAGTCCTACCGCCTCATTCTTGTCGACCTACCTGGGCATCTCCCACAATGGCACTGGGTCCTTACACCAACCTCCGCGTCGAACGCTTCGACAGCATTTTCGTCATAACGCTTGCCAAAGCACCAGAAAACCGTATCAACGTTGCCTTTGCGCAGGAAATAATACGCGCGCTGCGTGATATCGAGAGCGAGCTTGGGCCTGACGCGGAAGGCTGCGTCATTACAAAGGGCGCGGACAAAAAGTTCTGGTGTACAGGTCTAGATCTGGACGAGAACGAGGCGAATCCGCATGCTAATACCGACGGCTTCTTCCCGCTGCTAGCTACGCTACTCGACTATCCGTTCCCGACCATCGCACTGATCACAGGGCATACATTTGGCGGCGCATGTCCATTGGCACTGGCGCATGATTATCGCATCATGAACTCGCAGCGCGGCTTCTTTTCCATGCCGCCAGTCAATCTAGGACTGCATTTTCCAGGCATCGGATTCTTACCGAGGCTGAAACTCAGCCCGCAGGTTGCGCGCAAGATGCTGCTCGAGGCGCATCGATGGACAGGCAAGGAAGCATACAATGATGGCATAGTGGATGAAATTGCAGAGCCAAACGACATGCTGGATGTCGCATTGGCGAAGGCGAGAGAGATACAAGGTCGCGCCAAAATGGGCGTATACAGTCTGCTGAGAAATGAATTGTGGGGCGAGGCTGCTGAGAAGATTAGGAGCATCTGTTATGTGCATGGGAGGAGAGTGACGCCACCAGCAAAAGCAAAGATCTGACTTAGTACCCGTTGATATATGCGCACGTCCGATATCAAGTCTATAGCCAATTAAAAATCACGGGGATCAAGTAATGTTTTGGTCAGTAGAAATCCGTACGTGGTAGTTGGTATATATATTCTCATGACAATATGTACAGTTGAAAGTTCAAAATCTACATGAATACACCGAAAGTTAAGCCCGGGCGACAGTTCCCTCAACCTCAGCCGCGGAATCCTTTCTAGTAGGTAGGCTCAAGAGGAGGGTCGGCGTTCTTGACGAGCATCTGAACGTAGTCGTCGAACCAAGCACCAGCAACAGGCGCACCAGCCAGACCGCAGGCTCCGTCACTCTCACCACCGGGCTTAATCCAGACAATCGAGTCGACGTTGGTGTTGTTTGGTGCAGCTCCAGGGCGCAGTCCAAAGCCAGAGGGCGAAACGTTGCACCACTCGCCCCACTCCTTGCGAGCACCGGGGAGGGCAACACGGCCCTGGTCGATGATGAAGTTGGTTGGCATGCCCTCAGCTGCCATTGCCGCTCCAAGAGAGGTAGCGTAGTGGCTTTCATCCCACGATGGAGACCATTCGGTGTAGTTCTCGCGGACCTTGGCGTTGAAAGGGTTGTAGTTGGATACGTTGGTAGAGTAACCACGGATCTTGGCCGCTGGGTTGATCTTCTTAGCCGCTTCGACAACTCTGGCAAAGATCTGGGCTGTGGGTTTCAGGTTGTCGGCCCATCCAAGCCAGCCTCCATGAGCAGCATCCATGTATAGGGATACATTGGGGAACTGCAGCTTGGCAATGGCGTAAGCGATACCTTGCTCGTAGATGGGGGTGGCGTTGGCGCAGAAGGGAATACCTTGGTTGGTGACAGCGTTGCCGAGCGAGTCGGGCTCGAGAACAATGGCGAAGTCGAGATCCTTGGCCTCGGATACGAGCTGTGCGTACTTGTCGACGAATTCGTGCTTGTAGATGTTCAGGCCGTCTTTGGCGGAGCTGAGCTCTCCGGCAGACTCTCCAGCAGAGCAGTCACGGTCGGGGAGATTGTAAAGGACAAGGCCGACAATCATCCTCTTTCGGCCCTTTTGTTGACGGCGGGCTTGTTGAATGGCTTCGGGGATCTGGCTAAGTCCAGCGCGCGATGTAACCCATACGAAGGTGGATGTCTTCTTAGCCACAGTGCGGGTTCGTGCTGCGTTGAGGGAGTCATTCTTTGATAGGAAGGAAGCAATGGTTTGGTCAAGCTTCTTGCCGTAGCTTTCGACAACATAGCGGTCCTTGCCAATCCATGGGTTGACGGTGGTATTGCTGGGCTCTGGTTTGGGGAATGCGGCTGCGGCGCCAGCAAGGGCGGCAGTGGCCAGAACGAACTGTGTGACTTGAACCATGATTGATGAGAGCTTGAGAACAGATGGAGGACTACTGTGTGTTTGCTGAGGAGTACAATGGATAGGTATCTCAAGCCTTTTATAGGTTTAGTCACGAAATTGGCAAGTTGTGGGTAACATGCATATTGTCATGTGCTCCATCTCCAGATGTTTTCTTGGTACAGGCACTTACATTCAGGTGGCGGACTTGACGTTTGATAGCCGGTACCGTCGGGCCGCAATATGAAGGCCATTATTCCTGAATAGGCCCAAGCCTTGGTGTGCGTGAAGGCCTAGCTTTCGCGCTGTGACAGTCTAATGCTGCTAGTGCGCTTCACCACCTGAGAACGTCTTTTAGCGAGCGTAGGGAATGATTGTTTGCCCCGGAGCAGAACGTTTTCCCGCTATGGCATATTAGCCAAGATGGTATCGACCAGGGTAGGGCAGGCCTGTAATATATTGCGCGGTTTACCCGGCTTGCTACACCACCTTCCGGCAACCCAATCACGTGGTCCTTTATGATTGTAATCATGAAATGGATTTGCAGATTGGTCAATACTCTCGAACTAACGTAGTTCATATTGTTCAGAGAGTGCTGCGCAGCTCTTGGGTCATTCCGTCCTGCAGGCGACCATTGAAATGCAATGTAGAGAAGATTCGGTGCAGATTCTAGTACATCAATGAGCGGCTGTACCCTGAGGCTGAGTTGGACTGAGATGGCGCTACGCATGCGATGCAGGTACGCCAAAGCCTGTTCGGACAGAAACACAAGGACGCGATATCTTGCGTAGCATATCCTACCATGTGGAGTGTTTGAAAGACATGCGCTATACGAGCACACAATCCCTCATCTCATTCACCTCCGTGTCCGAAATTTGCTCTGCGTATGGATATACATGCATTACATATCACGGTCTGTGATACAAAATCTCACAATATTTCTCGGAGCGCAGTAGAGACTATTCCGCGGCGAGATGGTTTCCAGCAAAGTAACGAAAACTTTCATTGGTGCCCGTGCCGCCACAGAACGACAGCGTTGCAGGGCAACGGTGATACAAAGAAAAGGTGATTGCATCGCCCCACCGTTGCAAAAAGTGGGGAATCCCATTCAGAACCGGTCAGAATCACGCTATGGACGAAAGAGGTGTCGGAGCGACTGTCAGGTGTCTTGGCTTAATATCGGGCAGTGTACGGGGCCCACTTTCTCGTCGCCTTTGTGAATAGTCTGTCTCATGTTTCCTTGGGGTGGTCAGCATTCCAGGAACATCATCATCAGCCTTCCCCGCTGCGCTACAACATCAAATCTGTGAAACAAATCATGCCGTTCATTCGGAGCCATAAGAGACGAGAATTCTTTTTCCAATAAACGTGCGCAGGCGCTCGATGTTTTAAGAGCTAAGCCAGGCTCTAGAGTCTTGGAAAACCGGTGCCATGGGTTACCACAAGAGTATTTCATTTCGAAAACCACCAACGATCATATTGAAACTCAGATTGCGAGGTTTAAATTAGCCTCACATCCACGAAAACAGGACATCTTCTCAATGCTACCGTGGCAAGAGGATCCGTCAAAGATACTCTCCGCCTGGGTATTCTTGGGAGGACTACTTGTCCAAGATACCTATTGAAGGCTTTCGACACCAATATACTCCTAATCACAATACAGAAATGCTTATTGAATTTCAATAAACCATAGCCAACGCAGCTAGGCACAAGGAAGCTTGTGTGGAGTATGGGAAATGGGTGCTACTACTAAGCGTAGTACGTAAGCGTACGCAGTAAAACACCAACACGAATACCATTGTTCACATGTTTGTTGCTACCACGAAACGCTCGCGAGTTGATACATCTGAGTCACTCAACTGCCTGTACAGTGAGTAGTCAGAAAAGCGACTCCCAGATTAATACCTTTTACAGATGATGGAGCGAGATTTCCTTCCACTACGGAACGTTAGGATACTATTCGTGTTGGGTCGCAAGGCATTTCATGAAGATTGTGACCCGTCATAAAGTCTAAGGATGTTCTTTTTTGCTTATTCTTTGGAGTTTCTGGTGTCCGTGCTTCGCCATTCTTCAAACGTCGCCGCTGGAACGATCATCGCTGATGGCTTGGATTGCCATATTGTCATGTTGATTATGGTCAGTCACACGTCCTCACGCCAGGTCATATGCATGAGGAGAGGTGCACTAGTAAGTAGACATTCAACAGTGACGTAATTTTCCCTAGAAAACAAGTACAACACTTTGCGCTGCGAGTGTCTACATTTTGCGTTGGAGCATGGTAGTGTATCTCTCTTACCAGTTCATCACGGTTGAACATGAACCGCCCGACAGGCTTTGGACGCTGACATTGCACCAAGGAAAACCTATGTAAGCACATGGGATACTTGGATAAATGCAACGACACCTGTGATGACGATGAGTGCTCAGTCTACACCACAGGGCTCGGCCGAGCGCCACCGGCAGGTAGCGTCGGTGGTTTAATTCCCCGCAGAGTACGTATATCCGAGGGGTGAACGCCACTCACACTGCAACCTCGTCAGACCCTCAAGGCTAGCCAAGCACTCACTCACTACCTTCAGCGTGTGTTTCTGGCTTGAATATTAATCATGAGTACTGACCCGCAGCCGGCGCGTTTTGTGCACCCCAGCAGACGAAGGGACAAGCCCATCTTAAGCTGTACTCTTTGTCGGCGACGCAAGTGAGTGCTTCGGAATTTCGGAACTAGTGCACACAGCTATGTGGACCTATACTAACATGCTCAAGATTGAAATGCGATCGTCAACAGCCGTGCAAGACCTGTGTCGATCGTGGTCTTTCACTGTCATGCACTTATGTGCGCAATATGCCAACACCAAAAGAACCCAAAATCCCAAACAGTGTACATGATCGCATCAATCAGCTCGAGAAGCTTGTCACCAACCTGATGAGTGGTAAAGATGCCAATCACGTCTCACCCACTCCTAGCCACATGTCACAGCATCAAGATCAGAACTCCCACGAGATACCAGAAACTCCGGACCGTGTCAAGTTCAACAACGAAACTACGAGTTACACAAATAGCGAGCATTGGACAAGCATTCTCGATGGGGTAAGCTTCCTTTTATGTAACCGTATTCCCTCCGTTGAACATGCCCTAGATTTCGGAATTGCGTGAGCATCTCGATCAAATTCCCGCATCATCTGATACAAAATGTGACGAATTAGAAGAAGCGTCTTGCCCAGAAATCCTATTTGGACGGCAAAGGTTTGCAACTAAAGAGGATATACTGGCAGCAATGCCGCCAAGACTTGAGGCAGATCAATTAATGAATACCTTCTTTGTAAAATTGGATACCCATGCCAGTAAGTCTGCAGCTATCAAGTAGATAAACCAATACACTAAACAAACAAGCTTTACTGCACAGACCGACATTTATCAAGCAAGCAAGTCTCCCGTCGTGATCGTAACTGCTTGCGGAATCGAAAAATTAACATTATTTAGTACGAAAAGTTCTGGCTGAGTCCATTTGAAACGCCAACCATGTGGGTGGGACTTCTCTACGCTATTCTTGCCACTGCAACTCGATTTCAGGCGACTTTCGATGGGCCCATGTCAAAAAGCGTTGGCACGGGGCATAATCATACCCAGAGTCTACACTCTGCACGTATAAACTTCTATCGCGAGAAAGCCGTACAGTGTATGATTCTTGCAAACTATACGAAATGCCCGCCATATACAATTGAGGCATTCATGCTTTACTGTGCCAGCGAGTTCTCACGCTCTGCCGATGCTCAGTTTAGCTCATACATGGTCGTCGGCATGCTCATAAGACTAGCGTTTCGTATGGGACTACATAGGGATCCGTCAAGATTTCCCAACATCTCACCTTTCGAAGGCGAAATGCGACGACGCAGGTGGGTTTCGATAGTGTCTCTTGACCTTATCACATCAGCACAGCTGGGGTTGCCAAGAATGATCCAACCGCACATGTACGACACCCAAGAGCCCCGGAACCTGACCCAGGAAGAAATTTACGAGGACATGACGGAACTGCCACCCTCGAGACCAGAATCGGAACTTACACAGCTGCTCTATTTCATTCTTTTGGTCAGGATTCGAAAGATCCAGGCGCAGATTCTAGACATGATACAAGCCTCACCGCAGCCGCCACCGTACCAGGCCATAATCGACATCGATACAGCGCTGAGATCTACCTATAGCCAAGTCCCTAAGAGCCTCGAAGTCAAGCATCCCGGCAAAGCTAGTGCCTCTTTAAATTCGAGCTTGATGCGTTATACTTACTTGGAATTGGTCTATCTGAAGGCTCAAGTGATGCTGCATCGCCCATATCTCAAGCTTGGAAGAGTCGATAAGCATTACGAATACTCCCGGAAGGTCTGTCTTAATGCTGCAATGGAACTTCTTTTATTACAGAATAAGCTGGACGGGGATATTCAGCCTATGGATGAATATGTCTCGTTGGTAAGAAATTCACCTATATGATTTGTGTGGAAAGACACTGACTCATTATGCTCAATTTTGAAGTTCCGTATGACTGCCATAGTCAGAATTATGACTTCTGTAATTACCCAGGACTTTCTCCTCGCTACTAGTGTGCTAGTCCTTGACCTCGATGAAGACTTGATTTCCCCATTGCCCATCGTTGCTGATAGGAGGGTGGCAGGAGTGTCCCAGTTAGAAACAGGGATGCCAACACGCGAAGAGATTATAGCATCGCTGCGTTCTGCGTACCACGTCTGGTCAAAGAGGAGTAAAGGATCTCAAGAGGCAAAAAAGGTTGCGGCTGCAGTGAAACTAGTGCTGTCCAAAGTAGGGGAACACGAAGACCACACGCACAGCCCCTCGCATTGTAAGTTTTTGTATGAGAGTGAGTTGATTATCACGAGTTGACATTTTCAAGCCGTGGATGCTACAACGTCAGAACACAACGGTGTCTACCCATCACCGGATTTTGTGTTTAACGAGCATATGCCACCACGTCATGTGTCAAATCTATTCCCAACTGGGGAAGACAGTTACAGTCACTCTCTTCTCTATAGCCAGATTCCCATGGACCTGGACAGCCTGAACATCCCTCTTGATTGGGTGAGTTTACGAATTGGTGTGGAACGAGCTTCGAGCTAACCAATGCTCAGGAAGGTATGATGTTACATCTTGACGCCCAGCAGTACAATGATACTCAACAACGATCCCTCCAACAATACAGGCTACCGCAATGATTTCCTCGCTTATGCAACAAAGCTGTCTCTCGTTAAATTTTGTTCTACATATGTCACAAGGCAGCAGGCAATAGACTCATATTTTGTAATCGATACGGGCGGTGTCGTAGAGCAGCCGCAATAATGACCGCGGCATTTTGGCTCGTCATAGGTGATCATCTGCCACTTGAAACATGCATCGTTTCGCCACAATCTGCGATCTCGCGGAGAACAAAACTCTGCTAACCACCATTGCGGATCAGTTTCTATCCGTACAAGAATGTGGGTTGTTTTGAGAGAGCTTTAATAACTCGGGCTCGCGAGCTTGGGACATGTGGTAATCACTGCTGGTCTCACCAGCGCAACACTATGCCCAGATTCGTCACCGCTCGAAGTACCGACAATCGTCCACGTTGCCTGTATCGTGTTTGGATCGAGATTTTGTAAATCAAGACGCGAAAGCAACCAGATGCGGGATGGCGGATCCCTTGCTTGAAGAGTACCATGCCGCTGATCCACACATCAGTCATGCAATCCCGCACCCGCAACAACTCAACTACGGTTATCCATGTAATTCAAACATGAGAATGATGATTTGCTGGTAACGCAGCCGCTACGTCATATCTACTGTTTATTGGGTCGATTGTACATAGGCTGTCACTCAGGATCAAATTGCATTATAATCACTATGGGCCGTTGCTCACTCTTGTTTGCTACTCTCAGCATATGTCACCATTTATTCTACCACTAGCACTTTTCGAGCAAGATGATGACACAAATGGAAATCATGCAGGAGCTTGATGGGATACGGTATTCCAAAGAGGTGCCGTGTATCGAGCCTGATCTGGGAGATCTGCGAAAGTCGACTGACAAAGCCCTGCCGGGACTACCGAAAACACCAAAGAGGGTGCTGAAGAAATACCGGTTCTCTGCAGTATTATCCATGGCACTAGCAATTGCGAGTTTCGTCTTGACCCTGACATTGGTTCTGGCAGGGGATGACGCACATACCTTTGACGGGCAATATTTGGCAGCAGTAAGTTATTACCGGCAACGTCAGTTAACAAACGGGCTCACAGCGGTAGCTATACATTCCTAGCGAGAGCGGAGTCCCAGTATACCAAGATGTGACAGTTTTCGAGTCGTCTTCAACCACGGACACGACGGAAACGGGAAACGCTTTCCATCTCTACTTGCATCAAGTCTGCTATGATTCTCCCACCTATGGTAGCGAAGTCGCTTCCGATGTCTTTGAGAGAATATGTAAGAGCTATGCGACAGTAGCTGCAGGTGCGCGAGCTTTCATTCCAAATATTGCATTGTACTCGCTCATCAGGTCACGCAGAGTTAGCAGTGTCAGCTTCTTCACGCAACACGTCAACCGCAAACTCCGAATCTATGAGTTTAGGCAGTAGATTACTTATCATGGTCTCGACCACTTTGGCTGGCGTGCGAATAACTGTTTTTGTATCCCTCATTGTCTCGCTTGTGGGGTCCCTTTTGTCAACGATATTGGCGATTCCAGGGATCATCTATCCACACTCTCGGATCCTAGCCTATATAAATATCATGTGGCCACTCCTCGCAAGCACCTTTGCTTTTCTCGCCGCCACCTTGCTTACCATTGTGATAGCTGGGGTGTTTGCAGCGGTCGACGGGGTCGTGAATGGGGTTGGCGTCGAGGTCTGGCAGGGAGGATCAGTGTTGTTTCTCGCATGGTTGGCATGGGTCCTCATATCGCTGCCTGTCGTTTACTGGGGGCTTGTGTGGTTTGTGGAGGTGAGGAGATGGGGGTTTGCAAGCAGAAAAAGGAGTGAGGAAGAAGTGGGGAATTGGAAAGGGATAGGGCGAGAGGTCTGGTCCGATCTCAAGAGAGAAGAAGCGTATCATTGATTATCGAATTGAAAAACACCACTTTGACGGGAGACAGTTTTTATGCAACACCTTTGCAAAGTCCGGGTCAGGGCTTGGTCGTGATAGGTAACGGAACGGTTCACATACTAGAGACGGACACGTGACCGAGGTCTGGACGAAGGGATACAGGTTCCTGCGCTAGTGGGTGGGTGGCGGAGAGCAGAGTGGGTATCATCAGCCAACCATGGGGCGACATGGGCCCACCGCCTCAAGCGCCAAGGCCCAGGGTCCTCCATGCATACTCCACAAACCAAACTTCCAGCTCAGCCCCTCCGCTCCCTACCCTGAATCTGCAATTGTCCCTGACAGCCGCAACCATGCGGTCCTCAGTCTCTACCGCCACCGTACCCTCAAAGAACCCTGCGCCCCGTGGCTTCACCGTCAAGGCCGAAGAGCAGCAAGAGCCGAAATTCGAGAACGAACATGACCACTTCTTCTGGACGTACACAGAGGAGCCGCATAGGACACGCCGAATGGCCATTATCAAGGCTCACCCAGAGGTACTACTGCCAATTGATATCATTGAATCTCCTGACTAACCCGTGTATAGGTAACTAAGCTCTGTGGCCCTGAGCCGCTCACCAAATACGTTGTCCTGCTAGTCGTGTCGATACAAGTCACCTGCGCATACCTCCTCCGCAGCACGCCTGTGCTATCATGGCCCTTCTTCCTCACAGCATACGTTGTCGGCGCCACGGCCAACCAGAACCTCTTCCTTGCTATCCACGAGATATCGCACAACTTGGCCTTCCGATCGCCACAGGCAAACCGACTCTTCGCCGTCTTTGCGAACCTGCCAATTGGCATCCCATACAGTGCCTCATTCAGGCCCTACCACCTGACCCACCACAAATCGTTGGGCGTCAATGGTCTTGATACCGATCTGCCAACCGCTTTCGAAGCCATCTTCCTCGACTCGGTTGCTGGAAAAGCCTTCTTTGCGACCTTCCAGATCCTTTTCTACGCCCTACGACCCATGTTCGTGTACAGCCTGCCAATGACCAAAATCCACCTCTTCAATGTTGTTGTACAGCTCGCCTTTGACTATCTTTTGGTGCAATATGCAGGTGGAAGGGCATTGGGTTACCTCATCATGAGCAGCTTTCTTGCTGGATCCTTGCACCCTTGCGCAGGCCACTTCATTGCCGAGCACTACGTTTTTGAGAAGCCCAACAAGGATGCTGCGAACCCTGCCAACAAGATTCCGCTCCCTGAAACCTACTCATACTATGGGCCTCTCAACTTGTTGACTTATAACGTTGGTCTTCACAACGAGCACCATGACTTTCCCGCCATTCCATGGACCCGCTTACACACTCTCAACAGGGTTGCACACGACTTTTACAAGGATCTTCCCCAACACAAGAGCTGGGTATACGTGCTTTGGCAGTTCATCTGGGATAAGGACATCAGCCTTTGGTGCAGAGTGAAGAGAGAAGAGGGCGGAAGAAAGGTTGGTGGTGGGGGTGGATGGAATGAAGAGGAGTTGGGTTCAAATGAGAAGAAGGGGCCTATCCCCGGTGTGTTGTAATTACTTGTGCACTGTTTGCATGACTGGCGTTTTGATTGGCTTGGTGTTCTAGATTACATGAAAAATAGAAGTCGGTTTCGTTGAATTCTTTACATGTGAAATAGTATTTCTCGACTCTGGGATACTTTTCTAGAATGCATGACGGTGATTTTTCCCTACATTACTACATATTTAATCTTTTCACATAAGCTTGAATGTTGAAACAAAGATACAGAACTTTCAACGCTACATATTACATAATACAATGTATACCTTACAATTTGATTCGACATTTTCAAGCTACACTACATCAGGAAATTTCACTCCACCCGTCAACTTATCCTACCCAAGACAGAGCTATTTCTGACTCCCGAATAAGTGATAGACCAATGAAGTGATTTAGGTTTCGCTATCCATTGCTGCTGCTTTTGTTATTGATATCTTTGCCACGTGAACAGGGGAGTGTACCACATGACTTTGTTGGACTTCGTTCCGAAACTTGAACTGACAGATTAGTCGTTGTCAGATAGCCAACAGCAGAAGATAGTAAGTCCCAATCAGTATATCTGGAGTGAATTGAGTAAAATGTTGTTTGATTTCATCTTTTGGTGAGACACATGGGCGGTGAGCTACTTTTGTGACTGTCTTGCTTGTCTTATTGATACACTGAGATAGTCCACAGCCCACTGCTTAAAACTCAAATCAAGACACTGACAAACTTCCACACCAACATATCGTACATATCGTCCTCTTCAAACATAATGGACTCGGCTCATGTTCCAATGCCATATTCCAAGGTTTCGGCCACCACCATTTTGTTTTGACTTGGTCTCCGTCTGGTCTGGCCGGTGCTAGCCGTTTGCTTCTCACATGGAGTACGCACTGCAGCCTTAAAACTCATCTTCACTTTAAAAAAAACGCCAATCCGTCTTCACCTCTCACTACAGTGACTCAGGCTTGGCGACAGTTCCTCCACAGATATAATATCGCCCTCCACTTCCTCTTCCACTTGTTTTCCACTCTACCGCCCTGTCGAACCTCATCCGGACGCCGACAACAGTAGCGACAACAACCTCTCTCGGGATGACAGCGGCGGTTAGTACTAACGGAACTCCCAGGTATAGATCTACTCTCTCATCTCCGTCAACCGAGAGTGTGACGCTTGCGTCGCCTTTATCTCCTGTGCCCGTCTCCGACTTCGAAGACATCTTCACGATGTCTCCCATCGACTCAGAGACAGAGATTGAGACCGACAGCAACGCCGCTCCAGTGCCAATGTCGTTCGAGGTCCCATTGGGGCCTTTATCCGGCTATGGCGGCGCCCCAAAGTCAGTCACTCAGTCACTTTCCAATTGAGATATCCACTAACCACTATTTTTTATATGTGCCAAACAGACCAGTCCCCAAGTACAAGAAGCCGGCTACTCGGCTCATCAAGCCCGTGAGTGAGCAGCCCGACTACGTGTACTCGTTCAAGGGCTATGACGCAGATGCTCTGGTCCTCACGGACCAGCAAATCAACAGCCTTGGTCAAGCTGTTGATGGCAAGCAGCATGATGCTGAGCCCATGGGACAGTCGTCTCCCCTCTATGGGGAGACTGACTCCGATGACAGTGACCCGTTCATCTACGACCACATCATCCTTCCCTCCTCCTCCTCCTCCTCCTCCTCTGACTACTACAACGCTGTCGACGACGATCAATACAACGCTTCCGACGAGGGTGACTCTCCCTCTGACAACAATTCCTTCGAGGACGAAAGCGCCTTTAACTCCAACTCCGACGATGATGCCTTCGAGGCTCACGACACCAACAATGACGATGTCGGCAGCGAGCCCGACTCCAAACCTCCCTCTTCCCCGTCTTCAGCTGCCAGCGGGCTCTACTTCAACGATGAGGCTGATTCTGAACACAACAATGATGACGATAAAGATTCCAACGACTCTAACGACGATGATGACAATGATTCCAACAACGACAACGATGACGACGACAACGACCCCAACCGTTCAGACAATGACAATGATGAACACAAAGACGAAGAAGACGAGCGAAACAACGATGATTACTATAACCCCGAAGACTACTTTATCGACACCAACAACTACAACTACTCCGATGACAACGAATCTGGCGACTCCTCTTCCCGTTGCAGCAACCTCGACTCGCATCCCTTGTACTTACCAGCCCCCATCTACGCCATCGCACCGTACTTGACATACCAATCGCCTCCCACGGCACCCACCATGCTGCCCCCTGTGCCACATAACACGCCGCTCGCATTACCATCCAACGCGCCGTCTACCGACCCGCGCTACTCTGATCTCGGAACCCTCGAGATCCTTCACCCACATATCCGCAACATGATTTATGGCTTCGTGCTTGCTGACTCTCCTACTGCAACGTCAGAGGAAAACAATACTACTGGCGCTCAGTCCGATATTGGTGTTCGGCACAGTACCGCTATGGCTGACCGTAACAATATGCTTCTTGTGTGCTGGGCTATGCGCGAGGAAGTGTTAGACTTTTTGGCGCTGCCTTTTTCGACTTCGGGTGATGAGTAGGAGTAGGTTTTCAGGTTTCTCATCATAATGGAAAAGGTGAGTGTACATTAATGAGATGGAAAGATGATTGTGAATTACTGAGATGGAGGGTATGGGGATTTTGTGCGAAAAAATGAGGTAATGGGTTCTTTTCACTGACATGGAAGTTTTGCGACTTTTTCTGAGTGGCGCTTTGCCGAGCTTATGGTCGAGATGTATGGTATCGGCTTAGATACTCGATACTGGGCCCTCTTGAACAACAAAACTGGTAATGGAAAATGTGTGTTTTGCTTCATCGTGATGGCTATTGTTCAGTACAAGGTTGACAGTAAAGCGATCTCATGCTACATCACATACATATATGTTTGTTGATTTGTTGACGCCACTCTCTTCAAGTCTAGTATCACTTCATCATTTTCTGTTGCACCAATCTTATACGACTATTCCATAGCATCTAGCCCAGAAGACTCAACCGCTCAAACGATTTGACGACAGGTGCCTCGCGCTTCTTTCCTACCTCCTGCAGACTATCCCAGAACGTTGCATCGCCACCAGTCGGCTTCAGGACACTGGCTTCAGCTTCAGCAGTAACCCCATTCTCAACAGGGGCTGCATCGGTCGTGGGTGGGTACATCTCCTTGACAGCGTCCTGGCATCTCTCCATGACCTCACTGACAGCGTTTGACACAGCGTCAGCGCGCTCTCTCATATTGCGCCTGATAAGGCCCTCGATAAGACGCTGAATCTCGTCTTGCATGCTGTTGATGCGTTCAATCAGACGTTCAATAGAGTTTGTAAGATACTCCTCCTCGTATACGGTACCCTTCTTACCACGAGCACGCTTCCTCTCTTCACGACGCTTGTTCTTACTCGTCTTTCGCGTTGTTGTCGTGTTGACTGTACCAGTTTGATTTGTGTACCTCGTCATGAACGTTCCGCCAGAGGTAGTGTCGGTCGGAGCGAGGGAGATATTGTCGGGAATGTTTGAGTCGGCACCACCGTCCATCATGCCCTCGTAGAAAGCCATCGGATCCTCCGCCTTTTTGGTCCTCAGTTCCCTGAGTCGAGGCACCTGAGCTTGGAGTTGACCCTTCATATCAGCGAGGAACTCCGTCATGTCTGCACTACGCTCTACAAGGCCGGGGTCAATGACTTCGGTAATGAGATTGGGTTCGCGACGTAGTGTGACTATTCGGATGGCTTCAGCGAAGTAGCAGCCGCGGCAGAATAGTCGAGCTGCAGAGGAAAGATCTGATAGGTAATCCAATGTGATTGTTGCTGCGGAGAGATAGTCCTTTGATTCTGATAAACCTTCCGCCAGGTCTGTTGCAATGGATGAGAGCTCGTCCGCACTGACTTCAGCCAGCACCGCACTTGATAGCGCTTCGCGCCAAAGGTTGGCTGAGCGATAGCACGGCCATGCGGCCGAAGGATTGCCCAGGTATTCATATGCTATCGCGGCTTCCTTATTCTTGTTGTTTGCACTCAAGAAGTCTGCATACATACGCATGATCTCTCGGAGGCGGGTGTTGTCGTATTGGTACATACTCAATGCTTCCGAGTAAAGATCATGCTTCTGCACATATTCCCGCACTTCTTCAAACGCCTGGAGATCATTGAGATGTTTGAGTGCCTTTGTTCGGCGTCCGAGTTGATCATCGATTCTGAACTTTCGGCGTGTCTCGGGCAGGTCTTGCAGGGATTGCAGATGTGGAAGATATTCTCGAGGATCCTGCCATAGTTAGAATTTTACCAACAAAAAAGAGGAAGTAAATATGGTTACTTTTTGTGACTGCTGAGCGATGAGTAATGCAAGCTCGAGGTTATACAATCCTAACGACGTATCATAGAGCTGGTTGACATCTGCAAGGAAACAGATGTGCTCAGCAGCTTTGTCGGTTAAAGGGTTGTTCGATTCTAAATTGCGTTAGTTATCGCCAGAAAAATGATTTTGTAGCAATTACCTTGCAGCCGCCCAATCATCTGGAGTCCTGTCTCAAGTGCCGGGGGCGTTTTGGAAACATGGGATGTGATGATGTTTTGCAGATGAGCATCCTTGTATTGCGGCTGTTCCAATACGGCAAGAAATGCATCACAAATTCGGTTAACCTTTTTCTCTACTTGTTCTTGTGACAATCGCGGCTTTGCTGCAAGCTCCTTTGTTTTAAGGGTTTCCTTGTACATGGTTTCCGAGACATCCTCATTCCTAATAGTATTAGTCATCGGTGTCTTGCCAGATTGTAGCTCTACATACCGGAGCTGAGCTAAGAGTAGGTCAATATGCTCAACCTTTTTAATCTGTGCGATGATCTTCTCAAGACTTGCCAGAAAGCGTTCAGGGTCATGGTCGTGGAGGATGTTCAAATCCACACGCTGGCTGCGGCACGCGAAGAATGCTTCGTCGTAACGCTCTGCTTCGATATTCCGCCGTATCGCAGCAAGCACAAGTGCCCGGGGATAAATTGTCTCCAGGTTTCCCCTAGGCATTTGAAGTATGACTGAGTAGGTTGTGGGGATGACGGTAACGATCTTCGCGCCTCTCTCGATGCTTCTGCATCTCTCGTCCTTTTGCGGCTCATCTGCAGGCACCTCAAGATCTGAAGAAGTCAATATAAAATCAAAGTTCATGTGCACATGAAATCTTACCATCTACGATGGCGAGGTGAACGAATTTCAGGAGATGTTGAGTTGTTGTGAAAATGAGATGTGCAGGCGTGACTACGAAAGATGTGCAATTGCGGACCAATATTCGCTCGTTGGCGAATAGGGCTCCGCTCTTGGTCAACCCGAAAGTCAATGTCTGCAAAATTTAGTCGTTGCTTTCAATCAATCGTGGGTAATCAGCGCACCTGTCCTTCAAATTTGACTACCTGAACTTCAGGTGCAAATGCAGGAAACTTGTTCACAAGTGATGTCTTAGGAGGCAAGTCCGCTGCCATTTCATCTGCGTTGATCTCATGTAATGCACCATTCTGAAGCAAGGTGTAGAGTGACTCATGGTCTATGCTGGAGAGCAAAGCAGAAGCGCCATCAGCTTCCATGATAGGCCCCTGGGGTAATAGTGTCTCCCCTTCAGACCGCCAAAGGGAACTTTCGTCTTCTTCCCAGCTGTCCATGAGCACAAATATTTGATTATCACCAACAAATGTAATGTGGCGTGGACAATGGCCGGAGACTGCATCGCTTTTCCAGAGGAAGACAGGCTTCGGTACTGGCCGTTTGTTGAGATCAAGCGCGTATACCGATAGATCATGCTGCGAAAGCACAGCCAAACGAGCGCCTGATTTTGACAGCGCAACATCGACGATTTTGGACTCAAGTGACAAACTGTGGAATGCCATTGGAGGAGGAACATTTGCAATGCGCAGTGGGGTGAGCTTCAGGACCACTGATGGATGTCAACTACAAAGCTGTAGATATACGTGAGTTGAATTACTTACACCCATCTATTGATGCAACCATGCCGAAATCATTTGGCGGTACAACTGAGCCAGTCGATGTTGTGGATGCATATTCAAGCACCTCAAGAGCACCTATGATTATATCAGTTACTATTCAACTATTGGCTATGAAAGATCACTTACCTGGAGTTGAAAGGGCTACTGCCAAAGGACGTTCTGCATGCCAATTACACATGACCGTTTTTGTAGCAGCTTCTGGGAATGGTAACTCCTGTTTGAGATAGTAGTGGTAATTGCTCATTGTCCATAGCTGAACTTTGTCCGTGTACGAAACGGCTAGAACGTTAGAGTCGCTATTCCATGCAAGTGTTACGGGCCTTTCGATTGTTGAAAGCTCTTCAGGAGTAAACCGAAGATCAAACTGGCCATGACGAAGTCCGTTGCGCTCAAAGAAGACCACTTCAACCTTGTCGCTGGTACGTCGGGTGCTGGCAATTAAGTTTCCAGACGGTCGCCAGCTAAGAGCCCCCTCCAAACCATCAACAGGCTCGCTCACACTACCCAGTGTTCCCTCTCGGGAGTATACTCGAATCATGCGACGTTTCTCCTCTTCAACTTTGCTAACAGCAAACCAAGCACCATCTCCTCTCCAGCTGATAGTGACAGATCGATCGTCAAGCGGACTCAGCACGCCCTCATCGATGGTCTCTGGTACTGTTGGGTCCTGGAGTGCTCTAGCTCTTTTGCCTTTGAACTGTGTCTCTTTCTTTCCCCATCCTACTGAGACATGACTGGATACATTAACGTCTTCGGGGGAAAAGTTGACGCTGGCTATGTTTTCGATATCACGACTCATTAGCAGCAGCGTATCCGCCTGAGTGGTAATAGCGAGGAGTTCCTCATCCGGCGACCAAGCAGCGGCAGAGATACCCGCGTCCACTGAACCCACAATCTCAACTAGCTCTTCATTCGACGACGGGTTTTCTCTAACCAGCACAATATCCCCGCCGGCTAGGATTAGACATGATGTCGAAGTGTCGGGAAAATGGTGTAGACTCAAGATTGCGTCATGGGTAAGCGAAGGCAATGGACAGGGCGCATCCCACGACGCAATGTTCTCAAGTTTTTCCTGACCACTCGTGCGTGTGTGGTATAGTCTTTTGAGTTCGATAGTCGCACGTGATTCCGAGGGGCCAAAAGCGCATATCAGTGCATTGGATGCAGCGTCCCAGGCAGTGGCCGTGAGTGGAAGTGGCTCCTCTCCAGCAAATCGCAGGAGCGATCTCCCCACAATCTTGAGATTGCGCATCGCTAGAGGATCATGAGTTTGGTGAGTGTTGGTAGTTTGTGTTCTTTGACGGCTACAATATTCAAGCGCTATGAGTGGTCGCGAATTTTTGGTGATGCTAGCGCCGAGCTTCTACCGAATGATAATGCGTCACATCATCACAGTCGACCCCGGCAGTGTTGCGAGTGCAAAGAGCCATTGAGCCAAACATTGTACATTTTTTGGTACTCTTTCGGCCTTTTTAATATATGCTTCAACTAGTCTCTGAACAGCATTGCACACTGCAATGCATCCCGCCCCTTGATCAGCTCGCCATTATCCGACGAGTTAGCACCACAAGTCTTCAGTTTATGTTACAAGCAGTTGAGAGACAGACAATGAAATTGATACTGTTATGTCTATACGGTCGCCAAAAGGGCCGCCCAATATTCTACAGGCATTGTGTCCCTGGCGTGCCCGAGCCCCATGTCCACACTGCGAGAGATGGCGTCTATTTGTTCTTCTTGGTTTGCCAGACTGTGAAAATGTTGCAGTTAGTCTCTGTTCAATTGCTTGCAGAGCAGCACAAAAAAGCTCACCAGCGAGGAGGAAGGGAAGGGAGAATCCAGTGGCTATGTCTGTGTTAGCATGTGTTATACGGTGGAGTCTTCTCGATCGCACCCATGAATCCCCAGTACTTGAAGGCAAAGCCCTTCTTGAGGGGGTCAAATGGCAAGTTGCTGCGCGGGCCCTCGGGGTAGTGGTACGGGCTGGAGAACTGGGCGCGAGTGGACTGGAAGCCGCGGCGGGCGACGAGGGTTGGGGCCGATGCGGCGCGGAAAGTAGCACGAGCGAGCATCTTGGGCGGTTAGTGAAGGTAGCAATTGGCGCAGAGCTGGAGCATACTTTGGCTGTGTTGTGGAGGGGAGATGTTGCGGAGCTGTCTCGCGGTGGTTCGATGAGAGCAGCTTCCCTACCCACACGCACATGTCTTGGCAGCAAAGGTCTGTGCGTCCTACTTTTTTGATTGCGCCCATAGCCATTCTTCGTCATTCCGTCGCATGAGAGCTACACCACCACATATCACCCCCTTCACCTAGAGCGCGCGCACACACCTTCCCACCATGGATGACGATATGTTTGAAGTTTTTGAGGGCGGCCCCTCCAAGGACGCTGCGCCCCGCAAGACCAAGAAGCGCCAGGCCAACGGCGATGTCAAGTCGCCAGTACCTGTCGAAGATGCTACCATGTCGGATGCGCCCGCAGAAGCACAAGGTGGCGCAAACGAAAACAGTGCAGCTGAGACACTGAAGAAACGGCAGAAGCGTGATGCCGAGCCCGAGCCTATCGTTACCGACGATTTCGAGACGGAGCAATCGCGCGAGGTTGCTGCTGCTGCTGGACTGCAGGCACAGACCCAAGACGGACAGGCCGTAGTACTTTCACATCAGGTTCGACATCAGGTCGCCTTACCGCCAGACTACGACTATGTCCCCATTTCTGAGCACAAGCCCCCGACAGAGCCAGCGCGCACATGGCCCTTTGCACTGGATCCCTTCCAGCAGGTCTCTATTGCCTCGATTCAACGCAACGAAAGTGTCCTCGTATCAGCGCATACTTCAGCCGGAAAGACGGTTGTGGCAGAGTACGCCATTGCACAATGTCTCAAGAACAATCAGCGAGTCATCTACACCAGTCCCATAAAGGCCCTCAGCAACCAGAAGTACCGAGAGTTCATGGCAGAGTTCGGCGACGTCGGTCTCATGACAGGTGATGTCACCATCAACCCGACCGCCACATGTTTAGTCATGACAACAGAGGTGCGTATCGCGCAAAAAGCTCAGATTTCGTAGAGGCTAACGTTTGCAGATTCTGCGATCCATGTTGTACAGAGGTTCCGAAATTATGCGTGAAGTAGCTTGGGTCGTGTTTGACGAGGTGCACTACCTTCGCGACAAGTCGAGAGGTGTCGTATGGGAAGAGACTATCATTCTGCTCCCCGACAAGGTCCGCTACGTCTTTCTGTCCGCCACCATTCCCAACTCGATGCAGTTTGCCGAATGGATCACCAAAACCCACAGCCAGCCATGTCACGTCGTTTACACCGATTTCCGTCCAACTCCGCTACAACACTATTTCTTCCCTGCCGGTGCCGATGGTATACATTTGGTGGTTGATGAGAAGGGCGTATTCCGTGAAGAGAACTTCCAAAAAGCCATGTCGTCAATCGCTGACAAGGCTGGGACTGCCGCGAAGGACTTTATGGCCAAGCGCAAGGGCAAAGGCAAGGACAAGAAGACAAATACAGGCGGCAACAGAGAGCAGACGGACATTTACAAGATTGTCAAGATGATCATGGTTAAGAGCTACAATCCCGTCATTGTGTTCAGCTTCAGCAAGCGCGAGTGTGAAAACTATGCGCTAGCCATGAGCTCCCTTGCATTCAACGACGAATCCGAGAAGGCGATGGTCACAAAGGTGTTCAACAGCGCCATTGAGATGCTTTCGGAGGAGGACCGGCAATTGCCTCAGATCCAGAATATTCTTCCTCTTCTTCGGAGAGGTGTTGGGGTTCATCATTCTGGATTACTTCCCATTCTCAAGGAAACCATCGAAATCCTGTTCCAGGAGGGCTTGATCAAAGTACTCTTCGCGACAGAGACGTTCTCTATCGGTCTCAACATGCCGGCCAAGACTGTTGTATTCACAAGCGTACGCAAGTTCGATGGAGTATCCCAAAGATGGGTTACGCCTTCGGAGTTTATTCAAATGTCTGGTCGAGCTGGTCGTCGTGGTCTTGACGACCGTGGTATTGTCATCATGATGATTGACGAACAGATGGAGCCTGCTGTAGCCAAGGAAATTGTACGTGGTCAGCAGGACAATTTGAACTCGGCTTTCCATCTTGGCTACAATATGATATTGAACCTGATGCGAGTGGAAGGCATTTCTCCCGAGTTCATGTTGGAAAGATGCTTCTATCAATTCCAGAGCACAGCTGGTGTCTCCAATTTAGAAAAACGTAAGTCCTACTTTCCATCGATCCTGTTCATTCACTGACAGCCACAGAACTCGAGGAACTCGAGCAAGAAAAGTTAAACACCACCATCATTGATGAAGCCGCCGTCAAGGACTACTACAACCTGCGACAGCAACTGGACACTCACACCAAGGACATGCGCGACGTAATCATTCACCCCAACTACTGCCTACCATTCCTGCAGGGTGGCCGGCTCGTCAAGGTCAGCTACAAAGACCACGATTTTGGATGGGGTGCAGTTGTAGCATTTGCCCCTCGCAAAGCAAACAAGGGCGAAGTCCTACCACCTCAAGAGTCGTATATTGTCGATGTTCTGCTCATCGTCGGCAGTGATAACAAATTTGCCCCTGTAGTAAACGATGGCTTGCCCCCTGGTGTCCGGCCGCCTGCACCTGGGGACAAGGGCAAGATGGAAGTGGTACCCGTAGTCCTGAACTGCATTGAGTCAATTGGCCACTTACGCGTATTCTTGCCAAATGATCTCAAGTCAACGGAACAGAGGAACAATGTTCGCAAGGCACTCAACGAAGTCAAGAAGCGTTTCCCAGACGGTATTGCCATTTTGGATCCTATTGAAAACATGAATATCAAGGACGAAAGCTTCAAGAGGCTTCTAAGGGTAAGTGCTCACAAGTTGTTGGTATAGTGCATGACTAACTTGACGTAGAAAATTGAAGTACTGGAATCTCGTCTCTTGTCGAATCCTCTTCACAACTCGCCCAGGTTGCCTGAGCTTTACAGCCAGTACGCAAAGAAAATTGCAATTGGTGAAAAGATCAAGAACACGAAAAAGGAGATCGCCAATGCATTGTCCGTTATTCAGCTTGACGAACTGAAGAGCAGGAAACGTGTACTGCGTCGACTGGGCTTCATTGACGATGCCGATGTCGTCCAGCTGAAAGCCCGCGTTGCCTGCGAAATCAGCACGGGCGACGAGCTAGTTCTCAGCGAACTGCTCTTTAACCGTTTCTTCAATGAGCTATCACCCGAGCAATGCGCCGCCTGTCTGAGTTGTTTCATCTTTGAGGAGAAGACACAGGAAGTGCCAGCGCTAAAAGAAGAACTCGCCAAGCCTTACCGCGAGATCCAGCAGCAAGCCAGAGTCATCGCCAAGATGTCGCAAGAGAGTAAGCTGACGCTCAACGAAGAGGAATACCTTAAATCTTTCAAATACGAGCTTATGGAAGTCGTGTTTGCCTGGTCAAAGGGTGCTACTTTCTCGGAGATTTGGTATGTTCGCCCAGCCGCTTGTACTTGATCCATAGCTAATGTGTTTCAGCAAAATGACCGATGTCTACGAAGGCAGTCTGATTCGCCTTTTCAGGCGACTCGAGGAGTTGCTCCGGCAGATAGCCCAAGCCGCCAAAGTTATGGGCAGTGAAGAGCTTGAGCAAAAGTTTACTGCAGCACTGGAGCTCGTTCGTCGGGATCTTGTCGCTGCCCAGTCTCTTTACCTCTAACTTGATTTTTTGCGTCTGCGTCTGCGTCTTGTATAACATGGTATTGTTGAGTCTCTGTAAATGTTTTCGTTATTTAGCAGGTAAGTGCGGTATGTAGATGGCGTTCCGTTGTATGACGTCTTGACGAAGACGCCACAAAACGAACAAGCAAGTTTTTTTTTTCAGGTGCGCAAAAGGGGCATTCACCGCTTGGTCCTTCAAAAGGAGAGACTCCACAAGGTGTGTCCTGGGTAGAAATTGACTAGATCAGATGCCGCGGACCTAGTGCCCTGGCAGATGATCCCCCACTGATACATGATTTCCAGCACATTTTGCAACTAGAAACGTGATATCTTGTAACATTGCCGTAATGATGAGGGTATTTGAATCGAATTAGTCCGGAGATAAAGGCCGTGCAACACGAGGGGTTCCAGAGATGCACATAGCAGAAGCTTTTACACTGGGCAACACGTGACGTGGTGCACGGTCGGTCTCCCAGCACGTACCATCTTGGGTTCTGCTGGGCATGGCTCTGCTTGTCTCCACCACCAACAACAACGCACCCGACACCGCCCAAACCGCCCACGCAGCCAGAACATCACCTCCCGCGCCACCCTCTACGCATCACTACCCGCCGCCTGGTGTCCCGCAAAGCGGATCTGCGATTTTCACAGCGTTTGCGGGCTGTTCGTTGTCGCCATGAACGTACAATATCAGGCTTTCACGCCCCCTCACCTCTTGAACAACAACAACCGCCGCTCACCCACTCGCAACAGTATGTTCATTCGCTGCTACCAAAACATCAACCACGGGCCAGCAACTAATCTCAGACACTGTCTTCAGTAATGCCATCTTCCACTGCCATGACGGGCCGCAAGCGGAAAGCCGACGATGAGGGAAGTGCCGGCGACGACGACCGCATGAGTTCATCCCCATCTACTTCTCCTGCCATCCTCCCCCGACCTGCGCCACGAGGCATGAAACGTATGCGAACCAATGTTTCTGGTCGACCGCTCCCTCTGCCACGCCTCCTCGAGACACTAAGCGCCGACGAGATGCGGAACCTACTACAGTCCATTTGTCAGCGCCACCCAGATATTGGTAACGAAGTCGTCACCACAGCGCCTCGCCCCAGTATTCAATCAGCCATGGAAGTTTTGTCCAAATATGAGGCGGCATTCCAGGGGGCATTTCCGTTTGGCAACCGTGCATCATCAGATTATGCATACAACAGGGTCCGCCAACAGCTTGACGATCTGCTGGACTCTCTCAAGGACTTCACGCCTCACTTCCTCCCACCAAACGAACAACAACCTGCCACCTCACTCGCCTTCCTGGATGGAGCCACCGAAATTCTCCACCGTCTTCCCAACTGGGATACCTACCAGCACAACCGACACAAACAGGAGGCATATGAAGAGATGGCTAAAGCGTGGGCAATAGTCATTCGGGAGGCAGCAAAGAGAGCAGGCGGAATACAACTCCAGTATGGCGGATGGGATCAGAAGATTGCAAAGCACAATGAGGTCTCAGGTGGAAAGATGCAAGAGGCTGTGAATGAGCTGCGCGGGGGTCTCGGTTGGATGGGTGCCGAGACTGGCAATGCAGCCACAGCTGGGCCTACTGATGCCATGTCGATTCGCCAGCAACTACTGAGCGGGAACTACGGAAGTGGCTCCTCCGCCAGCATAGGTGCATGGTAGATGGTCAATCCGGTTGGTGCTAGCTCAAATGGCAGCATCTACTGGTACTGCCCATCTCCATTTTCATCGGTGGTTCCTCACCACCGAGTCACTTTCCACCATCCATCTCGGCATTATTACCATTGCGATCTTCCAAAACTCACGGCCTGATCCACATCAGCAAATGATACCATTGTATGGAGGTATATTTCCATGATAACGACTGCATAGCGTTTCCTTCAATCTCTATTTACGTACAATAGGCATCTGGCACATGGGCTTTTGATGCATAAGGCGTACTGGATGTGATCTCTTTGCGAGGCTTCGACATTTCATTTCTTAGGCTTTGTGTTTCTCGCCTCTTTGGCGCAATGTTTTGTTAGTATTACCTGTCATGTACCCTTCAACATCTGGGCTCCTTTGCGATGGGCTGCGTTCTCTCCTTTGTTTGGTTTTTCTTGCTTCTGGGCATCAAGGCTTTCGATTGGAATAGGACCACGGTTAGTGAGGTGTTTTTTGTGCAGGTAGTACCTACCTGTAGTATTGATGAGTGAATAGAATATTATTATATACCGAAATTGCCGTCTCCTTGCTGTGAAATTGTTGATCTTGGGCGTTACTGAGCAATAAGGTACAGGGTACAGTTTTAAGCGCATTTTGCATAAGGGGCATCTCTGCTGGCTTTTGTGGTGGTGTCACCTATTTTGGCAGCTGGGCTTTATATACAACATGGGCAGGCGTGACAGGGGTGCATTGCTGTGCCGCACAAGAATGGCAATCACGACTAGCAGCCACAGGCTCTCACCTTCACTTCAAAGTTCTCACTTTTACTTCAAGCTTCTCATCTTCACCTCACACTGCTCACTCTCGCCGTTGCTGTAACACATGTACACGCACAACCTCGCCACATCCATTATACTTCATCTCTCTGGCAGGCCTTTATATTCCGGCCGCTCTTTTTTCTCCATCCAGGTCTGACATAGACGTGTACTGCTCCACATAAAACCATGGCTATTACGCAAGAAACCCCTGGACTCGAAGTTCACGTCGAATGCAATGGGGCACGACTACAAGAGTTTGACGAGGACGACGGCGAGACAACCACCACCACTGTCACCAAATACATCGAAGCGAAATCTGCCGCGGAATTCGCAGTTCACATTGAAGTCCATCGACCATTCTCTCGCTACGCTATGATCGTCAAACTCTACATAGACGGCAAGTCTGTTTGTTCGCGCATCATCGGCGATCACCAATATCAAAGAGCAAAGGGGAGCGTGAAGCGAGTGTTCAACAATACTGTGACAAAGATTGCCGAAGGACAATGCACGTTGCGAATGTTTTGCTTTTCCGAACTTCAAATTGGTGAGATACCTGCCACCGGTTGAACTGTGTCTGCTAACAAATGTAATTTAGAAGATTCATATGATTACAATCTGGAGGACGGGCTCACCAAAGACCTGAAATTGATTGGTATCATCACCCTCAAAGCTTACTACATTGAGAATCTCCGAGAAGTGTGCATCAACAGGCCATATGTCGACAAGAAGCAAACCGGTGTCGGTCCGATCCCGGAAAAGGCACTGAAAGGACAGGCATTGACGCACTGCGCAGAGTATGTCCCCTTGATTGTTATGAAAATCTATATTGATTCTTGATAAAGGCTAGGCAGGGAAGTTAAAGAGCCTTACCATATGAGCCCGACCCGTACAGACTACGATTATGTCAATCTGCAGCGACTGCCCTTTGCCGCCTTCAACTTCAAATACCGCTCGAGAGGTATGCGCCACTAATATCTAGTATTTTTTCTTAGTATATACTTCAGCTAACAAATTATAGCTGCCCTTCAATCACTACTCGTCATCCCGCGGAGCCCGTCTCCTCTACCCACTCAAGCCAAAGAGGATGGAGCGCATGTAATCAACGTAGCAGAGTCGGAACAGGGCAGTCTTCCGACAAAAGTTAAGAAAGATTCAGGCCCTAAACGCGAGTACTCAGCTACTTTTGAAGGTAGCAAGGACGACGATGAGGTATCGTTCGTATCGGCGGCAAAGCGTCCACGGCCCAACATCACTGTCAACAAGCGTGGTGTCGAGATTATTGATCTTACGTAGAGCATAATCTGGTAATATAGCATGATGATGGCGGACCAAGGGCACTGTTTTCTTACATCCCATTCTCATATGGCTTACCAACCGCTTCTTTACGACATTACGCTTTGCTCGTACTTTCTGTCGGCAAACCGAGTAGCACATTTTGTATGCAACCTGCTCTAGTGTATTTCTTTTAAATACAATCCATGTAATTCCTTGAAGTGACCAGTCCGCACTTCTCCTTTGTAACTCTAGCCTTAAGGTTAGTGGGAAGTGCAAGGACATCATTATTCGGCAACCAAACATGAACAGCAACCCACTCCCTCAACCAAGGATCCAAGCGGTTCACCCATCATCACTAAACCAGGTTCTCCAGCTTCCCCACGAGAGTATAAAAACAGCTCTTCCTCCTGGCCATGTATTATTCCTTAAGGTGCCTCAAATCGTAACAAGATGCCAGACCAATGATGAGAGTTCGTCGCTGGTACCTATCAAGCTGGCAAGTCAAGCTGAGGTCTGCGACGATGAGAGATAGCCTGTCAACTGCCAAATGTACAGTCACCAGTATTGAAAAAGCAACTGATTATGCCATTCATTCTCTTTCATGCAAATAGCATCTAAGAAGGGTAAAGTATAGTCTCTTTTGATCGACCGAATGAAAATAAGACCGCAAATTTTGGAGCATGTCTTAGATAATCTCGCAGCGCAAAGCTCAGTTGGGGGGGATGTGCTATCTGGGATCTTCTATTTTGGTTGTAATTACTTGACGGAACATATCACTTGGAATATGCCTAGCATCAGAGACATGTCCTCTCAACCATGACACCACGTATCCATACCAGCGGAACACAGCGCGACCCTCCTTCACTCCACAGATGACCATCCTTTTTCGCATGTGCAGCGCTATCACTCCAGTACAATAATCTCGTCCTTATCGGTGGGCAGACATCGACGTTTTGCACTCCTTTCTCCTACTAACTTGACGTCGGGGTCCTCGTCATTCTCGGTGCGCTGTCGTTTCGTTGCCGGCATCACTTCTTTCCCGGGCTGCATACAATTGGTTAGTCATGGATTTGCAAGTTCTACCGACATAGGAAATTTGTTACGTGATAAACACCGAGCGGCAGAGCCTTCTTCGCCATTGAAGGTTGGCTGACGGAGCCCCTCTCTAGGGACATAGAATTCTGAAGTGGGGGGAGTATATGGAGTGATCGGAGAGCAGCTACGGTATACTTTCGTTAGGCTTTGTCTTTTCTGGGGCAGTGTCTCGTACCTGCAGAGCGGTATTTGAATTGGATAACAGCGAATGGGCGGTCTCCATCGACATGATCGGCTTCGACCCACGTAACCGGTGCAATGCGTTCGAACGGGTCGAGTCTATCCAACCAGTCAGCAGGTTCGGGTAAGTGAGAAGTCACCTGGAGTTGTACTGTGTTTTGAGCGAAACTGCCGAGCCCTTCAATGCCTTTTCTGGAACCTTGTCGTACTCATGTATAGTCGGTGCCTTCTTGCCTGCGCTTGCGACACGGATGTTGGTTATGCGATAGAAAGACACTGATATGTCACCCGTGACTGCTAGTTGGTTTTGTACCGCTGTGTTGACAGTCTCTGTCTCATCGTCTATAGGAATCTTGTTAGGACGGTCTGAGAAGATGAAGGAATTGAGCTTACGTGTGTCTAGAGTGGCAAATCGAAATCGCTGCCCAATGAAGAGATTCCCAATGTGGGCACTACTGGCGCAAGCATGCCTTGATACCCCATGGAGACGGCCGACGTAGCTGTCATGAATGTACTTGCGCATGCTCACACCGTCGATGCTGACCTCTGCTTTGATGCCGTACTCCATGAATAAGCTCGGAGGTATGAAGTACTGGACGCCGAACTGCTCGCCTGCTTCTGACTGGATGTAAACTGTTTTAGTTTTAGAGTGTGCATCTTCGCCGTCATCGTACTCTGTCAGCCGGCACCCGTCAACAGTGACTTCAGCATACAAGCCGGGGTAGGCGATGCTGGGCGCCATCTCGTAGTGTTGAACGGAAATGAGATTTTCTGGGAAGTTGATAATTACAACGTGGAGGAATACAGTGCGCAAAGCACGTCCTTTGCGACAGGAAGGAGCGGCCTCGGTGTGTAAACAAACAGCTGGGTGGTCTCCGTGTTAATGGCAGTCACGATATAGCTAACATCACTGAGCTCTCTCATCTTCATCATTCATTCCTGGATGCTGTTGACCCACCATAATTCACTCATCACTGATGGTAGTCATATCATCAAAGAGTCTTGGAGGTTGGACAAATACTCCGCATCGGCTGTACAAAGCCATCTTTCAGAACGTTCCTGGGGATGTCATGGTAAACATCGATAGTCAAAATCAATCCCATAATAACTCACACAGCTGCAATTGTTTTACTGGCATATTCAGCTTTCAGACGCTCCTCCTAGCAATTATCCGACATATTAAAGACTGCAGGTCAATACTGGCAATGTTGTTCTCTCTGTTACATGCATCACGAAGCCATTTAAGAAAATCCCATACATGAAATGACATCTCTACTACTCTTTATCCTGATCTATTACGCAACTATAAACATTCATCACATCTACTCCCGAACACAGAAAATGCCCAATACCACATAATCATCAAATCAACCATCTTTGTACTTTCAAAGCGACTAAAACACAACTTTCCTCCAGACTCGTCCATTCCCTTGAAAAAAAAGAAACTAGCCCTCCCGTCATATCCGATGACTACCACTGCACGTCTCCGCTAGACTCACCACTCCCAACTCCCCGTTTCCACCTCCTTGCACAAACCCCCATACCCAATGACGTCTCCCCTGTGACGTCTGCCAAGCCGCTCTCTCCCCAGAAAACCCCCCTAAAAGAGGGTGGTGGGTGGGCAGCGTGAGTGGGAAGCCACTACGCCCAAGCGTGCATCTTTACTCCTCGCCGTGGAAACAAACAAAAAAGGCCGTTAAACCGCTTAGCGTTAGTGAGTGCATGGAGTGGGATGGGGAATTTCCAAGGCAGAACAGAAAGGCAATGGGAATGTGGATTTCGCCATCTACGTATGTGTGTTGTGCGCCACAATTTGTGATAGACGTCAGGGATGATAGACGGGATCTACGTTGCGGGTTGTGGGCGTGTGTGTGTGGGGAAAGGTAGGTATGGAATGTGAAGGTGTCAGGGTATTGTCGGGATTTCCAGCATGATTTTGACATGAACAAAACTTTTGCAGGGGGGAAGGAGAGCTAAACGTCTAGTTTGTTCAATTAAAGTTTGTGTGGAACCAGAAAGAAGAGTGACAGGCATGTAGCTTCTGCCAACTTCCATCCCAGCCCACGCTTCATCAAGCCATTATCGTGTGCTTTAAAAATTTCGTTACGTCGTGTATCGCAAGTGGCCCACTTGTGAGGAGGGGGGATACTAACGCCCAAAGTTGATGCAGTGTCGTGCAATGCATATGCATGCTAAGAAAGAAAAACAAACGCCAAGAATGATGTGGTGCAAGGAAATTCGTTGACCGCGTGGGAAATCATGTGTAGTCTATAGTCCGGGAAACCTGCTCGCTTCAAGTCTTCTCTGTAAGGGCCTGTTGTCCCATTAGTCTAGTCTCCCTGCTGGTTCGACGCAGGTAAGCCTGGAGGGAAAACATGGATAGTACAGTAAGCCCGAGAAGAAGTAAGATGATTTGCATCCACTTGACTACAGTCTGCTTTGATGTTAGTAAAAAAGCATTTCGCAACATGTGATGATAAGGGACTTACGGCTTCGTTGCAAGCAACGCTAGCATTCTGCTTATCCTGACCAGTGACAAATCCGGGTTGAAATCGGCATGCGGCCATTTCTCGGGTGCAGTAGACGTTTGTATTCATTTTCCCACTCATCATCAGTCGCTCCTGGGTACATCCCCATTGGTCGTTGCCCAGTTTCGTATAGTGCAGTGCGAGCGATACGATGGCCATGACCGCTCCAGCAAGGGACATGAAGACAAGACTGAGTATCCAGAAACGGCGTATAGTCTAGGCATGGGAGTTAGATTTCTGCTGTTTCCGTGTACGAACCGAGCTACCAACCGAGTTAATCAAGGCGTCCATCCCTGGTTTTCGCAAGGTACTCCATGCGATAATGGCGATAACGGCTGCGGCCAAGTTCAAGCATCCCGATACAATTGTCGCATCGGTATCTGCATCGGTAAAGTAGACAATTGTCGCATCCGTCACAAACTGCCTCGCTCGCTCATCGAATTCGGAGGTCGTAACGAGAACGCCTCGTGGTACAACCCAGTCGGTTAGGATCCAATAGTGCGTTGTCAAAGCCACCGAAACCACAGATATGAGCAGGTAGAGTATCGACGGGACCAAAGCCAACTTGAGAATAATGTCGAATCGCAACATGTTGGCGTAGATGCGCAAGAATCGGACCTGGCACCGGCGTGCAGGCAACGATAGCAATGTGGAAGAGTAATTCAAGTCCCAGGGTGTCAAAAAAGAAGGCAGGTATGTCCTGTAGCTCGCAGGGGCACGGGTACCACGTAGCTAAAATAAGAGCGACAGGCTCGACTCGGGTTTCCTGCTCGCAGCCATATCGACGCCCAGAACCGGAGGACAGAAAAGCTTGTCTAGGGCTCGGCACACCGCCACGATCCGCTCATTGAGGTACTTGGCCGTGTCAGCGCAATGTAGCGCTACACTGGAACCATGAGCATTCCGAACGGGCGCGAGCCATTGGACATGGCCAAAAATGGATGAGGCGTAGTCTTGGCGAGACGTGTTTCGCGCCTATCTTGCGGGTGGAGTCTGGCGTTAAAGAAAGCGCCCCAGCCAGCCCCTCCGACGTGGCCCTTCACCGCACACTCGGCAAATCAAGCCCGGCCCCTCGATGCTTCAGCGTGGAGTCATAAATGGGGATAGCAAAGAGGCCTTACCGAGGGTCTCTGTTGGTTGGCAGTGTGTGAGTGGTATGGTCGTGGAGTTGGTGGCTTAGGTTTGGTTGGCAACAGAACGTCACGATACCCCGCGAAGGAAGGAGCCGGAACCACCGTGCAAATATTGCCAAGTCCTACGGACCGCTCAGGTTCTGCCGTTTATCCCGGCACGATTCGCCCTTTGACATACACATACGTCTAGATCACGATGCTGGGTGGGCAAGCGACGCAGGTACAATGCTGGGCGGGGGAGATGGTCACGACTAGATCGCCTTGGGTGCGCCATGTGCCTTGATTTCTCCTCCAGCTCTTCACGCTTTTTCATGACGATATCCCCGCATAACCTCAACCCTTGCAGCACACTGGCTTCCATGAGATCATGTTCAACGCGACCTGCGCCCGTTCGTGCCGCGGAACTGCACTTGGCCTGATACAGTCATCCGCCCCGGCCATCGCGACATGTATAATACGAGCAGATAAACACACATGCAGGCAGTCGGTACATTTTGGCCTAGTTAAAAGCCTCATGCACCTCTTAGTCAGTATTGGTGATTGCTCTTAGGAAGCAGCCCAGCCACCATAATTTCTGGAATATGTATCCTCCGTCGGACGAACCTTGAAGCCGGTCACATTGCCTTGTCGCATCAGAGGCCAAAGTTCATGACATCTTCCTCGGACTTCGTTACCCAAGTCTCAGTATGGAACATATGCTCTCGCACCAAGTGCTTGCCATCGGCACTCCTTTTCACAATATATGATGAGTTCGTACCATCAGACCCTCCGATTTCCTCAAGGCTGCCCTCGAATCCTGCTAGTTCACGAGGTAATACCTCCGCAGCTGAACCAGGTCCAGCTGGTGTGGGATCTACATAGAAGACGAGATACGGAAGAGAAGCAGTGCTGGGCCGAAAGACCCTGACCTTTGAAATGAATCGATTGCCACCGAGTTGCTTCTTGTGCTGTAAGAGGAAGTATCCGGCCCATCGTCCAATCGGCGACCCTAGTCATCAAGTCAGCATCAAAACCCAAGTGCCAATCATGTTAGTGTTACATTGACTACTAACCCAATATTGCTCTGCCCCCAACCGTATCCATGGTAAAGTCACTGCCCGGCCAGACTTGGGTCTCACTCTGAGGAGGCTGCAGTGTTCCAAGCGCTGTTCTGATCATATCTCGAGAAGTTAGGTTCATAATCTGTGTTACAAGGAGGTACTTGACATCAGCAATGTTGGAAGCGCCAGCTCGGTTCCAGACAGCCCATGCTATATCTGAGGGTGTACCGATATGAGGTAGCTCTTCGGGGAGTGGCTTTCGGAACCAGGTGAACTTTTCGGCGCAGAAACTCAAGCTCATAATGTTCATGAGAGCGACGAGCCCGTTTGGATTAACGGCGAACTCGTATGTAGCACCTGTTGCCTGCATGAAATCTCAATCAGCAATAGTTTTGTCGAATAGTTTGATCTGCAAACACTTGCCCTATATTCCCTGCCGCACACATCGTAGTACTGGTTTGCCTCGAGAGGGAGAGAACCATCCGGGAGCCTTTTGATAGCAGGACCGTCACGATGATTGATCTTGAAGCACTTGTTCGGCCCACCGTCTTTCTCTGCCTTGGTGTCCAAGCCTAGCTCATCAAAAGCAGGCTTGATACCATGATACACGTCGAAGTCACACTCCTTCTCAACCTCTTTCCTCAACTTCTCACTGTCGTCGAAGCCCCACCTCGCCAGATCCTCCCGCCCATCACCGTCAAAGGGACTCTGGCATGTCTCTTGAAAGTTGGGAAAGTCCTTGAAGAACCATCGCGCGATACTGTCTTTGGACTTCATGGCCGCATCGAGCGTACGCCCAATTTCAGCAGACTTTTCGAATTTGGTTGGCTCGGCAAGAGTATGAGCTATCAAAGAAGATTCCGAATCAATTAAGGCAACATCGGCGAGAGTGACGTTGACATGGGTGACGTTTTCAGGTGATAGGCTCGGAGACACGATGACGCCAGCGCTGGCGAGAGTGGCTATCCATACAGCAAAGACGAACTGGAGCTTCATCTTGAAGTCGAACGAAGAGAGTAGACTGATTTTGCTGCTACTTCAAGACCCGTGTGTAGAGCAACGGTTGGAGGAAAGACGAGTCTACTTAAGTACCCATAGACCCTGACTGGGTGAAAGTGAAGGTAAGGCAGGAGCGAGTGACCAATGTGGAAGTCACGCTTCAGCAGTTTACAAACAGCCAGGTGATTTTGAAATCACTAGTAAACGAAAATTTCATTATGTGTGCACAGATAGGTGTCACACTCAGGTAAAGCACGTGTCTTGACTTCATTCAGGTAGGCAGCATAGGCACGAGAAGTGGCAGTAATCGTGATGATGAAATCGTACATTCAGCGTAAATTCACTGCGTCCCATCAATAAGAGTGCTAATGCCATGTGAGCGAATCCCAAGCGTTCCCCTTCTATTCTAGATCATACATGTTTATACAAAGTCAAACACATCACCCTTGTCTGCAACCATCTTGCCCACTCTCTTTGCGCCAACAATCCTTTCCAGCTCCATCCGTTCCCATTTCGAGAAGCACACCCTGACACTGGCTTCTGCTCTGCTAATTTCGGCCCGTTCCAACGTCTTGCCAATGAAGCCTACCACTTCGTCATAGAATATCGGGTTCTCCGGCACGCCGTAGAACACGACCCGTTTAACACCTCGAATCTTGTAACGATGGAAATGGTGGGCACGGCCCGTGTACAGTAACAGCGAGTGCTTTCCGTTCATGAAGTGTGAGCGGGCTTTACGCACATCGGTCACATCGGTATATTCGCTGATTGAAGCATATGAAAAGTCCGAGTCGACGAGCGAGTTGCGCACGCGGACAAAGTCCAGGTAAGATGGAATGAAGACCAAAACACCCAACCCTCCCTCTGGTGGCCGTGGCATGCGGTTTATTGATGGCAAAATGGATGTGTTGAAATATTTAAAGCGCGCATCTGGATCAGTAAGATGAGATGGTGAGTCGAAGCGCAGGAATGTCTGCTTCACTCCATACGACATTGTTTCTATGAGGCCATCTGTGTTATCGGCAACATATTTTAAGCGCCCGGCCACATTACGCATGTGCTTGTTGTACAGAGTGTTGATCTTTGGTGTCAGGAACGCTGAGAGCACAATGGTCTGTCGAATGTGTGGTGCGTGTCCGTCCAGGTACCACGAGCGCACCCGTGAAAAGTCGCAGCCATGAGAATCCTTTGGTTGAAGATTCAGATGCTCAAAGACGAACTCTGTGTGGTCCCAGTTTTGCATCAGGGTTGCATCCGCTTGCTCCATAATTACCATTTCAATGGATGATAGGAAGTCGTAATCTCGCTTCTTGGGATCGCCAGACTCGATTGCTCGACGCAGACCGAGGGTAGAAGCAAAGATGATGTCGGAGTTGTAGAAAGTTGAGAACAACTTTAGCGTCTTGCGTGTCAGCTTGACGCCGATGCGGAACTCATTTTCGTCGTTGCCTTCGAATAGTTGGCGGAAATCAGCAGGCTTGTCGTCCGAAAACTTGTCTTCTGGTAGTGAAAAGCTGTCGAGAAATCGCTTCTTATTTTCTTGCTGTTCGAAGTCGTAGAGTTTGGTGATAGAGTCCAAGACGCGCACACAGGCCTGTTTGGTCTCAAGAAGGAACAGTATCTTGGGGCGCGTAAAGCCCTGGTCGCGATATTCGGCATCGTCGTCGTCGCCTGCAGCTGCCAGCTTTGCGTTATTCTTAAGCACACGATCGCGTGTCATGAGAATATGATTTAGCGCATGTAGGCAGGTGATGTCTCGAAGGCGGTTAGCATTTTGTACTGTTCGCGCAGCAAATAGCAAGTCTTGGTAGCCAAACAGGGACGGCGCAATGGTTTGTTCGACTGGGTCAAAGTCTCCAACTTTCTTATGCGCATTCTCCACCAACCGTGCCTTCAACTCGACGTCACGAATGCTCTTCACTTTCCTTGAGGGTGGCTGGACCTCGTCGCTCGGGACTTGTAGAATGCCAAAACCCTTTGCGCTCCCTGATGTCGTGCGCAGCTTGTGCGAAGACCATTGGTTTGCCGCTATCCGTTTTAGCCGTGCTGCCAGTTCGTTCTCGTCTGGATTTGCAAAGTGTTTCTCGTAGGTCTTTTCCAACTCCTGTTCCTTGACATCATCTCCGTCGACTTGGTCGTCGTCGGAATCGCCTTGCTCTGCCTCGTCCTCACGGTCAGTCGCATTGGCTTCGGCGTCTTCCAATTGGTCTGTATCTGTGGCAGCGGCCTGTTCCAGTTCGTGATCGTGCTCAAGCTTTCGCCTCTTTTTCCGGGGTTCATCTGAGCCAGTATCGCGGGTGGAGAAAGATTGGAGGAGAGCTGCGTAGGCGTTGGCGGCTGGCTGAGCCTCTTCCTCGTCGTCGTCGTCATCATCGTCGTCGGAAGCACCGCTGTCGGAGCCTTCGGATTCGCTGTGTTCAGAGTCGGACAGTGCACGCATGTTGACATTGCTTCATTTGGCAATTAGCATGTAGACGACCCTCTCTGTAACTAATATCCATACTCACGAATCTTCAACCTCGTCAGCGGTCCTTGCAGCAGCGAATCCCCCTCTTCCGCCACCTCTTCCTCTTCCTCTTGCGCCACCTCTGCCTCGTCCCCTACCTCGGAAACCACCGCGTCCTCTGACTGGCGCCATAGTCGCTATGCGCGCGCTTCTTGAATGCGCCTGGTCGTTATTGAGATGAATAGCAGAATTCCCAGCGCCTGAAAATATTTTCAACACAAACAGCTACCTCGTGTCCCTGAAGTAGTCCTGGTGTCGCGCAGTAATTAATTTTTCGAGTCGCTACAGCGCGTCAGTTGGATGCGCCTGTAGTTCAAGGGTCCCACCAGAAAATATATCGACATGGCCCGTGCAAGCGAACTACCGCACCTGCCCAGATTTCGTGAAGAATATCGACGTGCCCCACCAACCACATTGTCATCTTTGATAGCCGCCAGCGCCTCAACACCACGACTACGTCCACGATCACCGCCGCCCAGACGACAATCGCTATCATGGCCGAGAACGACTCTTTCCTCCATCTCGCGCGTCCCCTCGGCCCTGCGCCTCTGGGTGCCCAACCATCGACTGCCCCGCTGAACGTCGCCATCCAGCCCCAGGTATGCGACTACTGCAGTGAGAGGCTGTCAGCTTCGCTCTCTGACCCGCTATGAACAGGCCGTCTTCTCCATCCTCGACCATGCCCTCCGCCGCCCCGCCGACCAGGAACGCGTCATTGGTACCCTCCTCGGCACCCGCAGCGAAGACGGCACTGAGATTGAGATTCGCAACTGCTATGCTGTCCCTCACACCGAGACGGCTGAGCAGGTTGAGGTCGACATGGACTACCAGAAGCAGATGCTTGCCCTCCACCTCCGCGCCAACCCCCGCGAAGTCCTCGTCGGCTGGTACGCAACCAGCAGCGACCTCAACACCTTCTCCGCCCTCATCCAGAACTTCTACAGCCAACAGGGCGACGGAACATGGCCACACCCCGCCGTTCATCTGACTGTGTCGACCGTACCGGGTCAGGACATTGAGTCCAAGACGTACATCTCCGCCCCCATTGGTGTCACTGCCGAGCGCGCGGCCGACTCTTGCCTGTTCATCCCAGTGCCCCATGAGATCAAGTACGGCGAGGCCGAGAGATCGGGTCTAGAGCTCATCTCATCCGCAAAGGACAGCGAGGACCGGTCACAAGAGGTCATGACCGACCTGGATTCATTGGAGCGCGCCATCCAACATGTCCTTGACATGCTTGAGCGCGTGTCCACCTACGTTAACAATGTTCTGGACGAAGAGGCTGAGCCTTCATCCGCATTGGGCCAGTTCCTGATGAACGCACTCAGCTTAGCACCCAAGGTTGAGCCTGCTGACATTGAGCGTGACTTGTATGTTGAGACACAGTTTTTTTTTTTAGTGATATCCGGCTTTGCTAACATGTAGCAGCAACGCACACATCCAGGATGTCCTTGTGGTATCATACCTAGCAAACACAATCCGCACACAAATCGACCTCTCGAACCGTCTGGCAACAGCAGCGCTGACGATGGGTGGTGGTGATGTTCTTGGCGGCGAAGGCAAGAAAGACGGCGAAAACAGGGGCAAGGGAGGTGACCGACGAGGCGGAGGCAAGGGAAGGCAGCAGAGGGAACAAGAGGCATGAGCATGCCGAAAAAGAAAATGGATACATTGCAAGGAGTTTGGCGTTTGGCTAACGCGTTATTCTAGACGGAGTCAAGCCTCTAGCAACATGGGCGTGGGAATGCCCGTTTCTAAAATGGTTGATAGATTCAGCATGGGGAAATGTGGGCGGATCTTGGAAACGTGGAAACTCGTGGATTCAAGGCATGAATGGCAGCCATGACAAATGATGATGATGATGATGATGACGACGAAGATGATTAGGTGGTCGAGCTGCAGGCTGCTTGCTTCCAGTCCAAGAGAAAACAAAAGCCCTTGCCCAGTAAAAGCGCTGTATACCTAGTAGTTTTTGTTTGACGCGGCCGCGGTGGTTAAAATCATCACTACGCTGAGGGCATATGTTGGAACGTTGGAATGCCAGATATTTTGACCTGCTGGATTGTATGTATTCACCATTGTGTGTTGCCCAGTGAGTGTTGTATAGCTGTACATAAGAAGGTGATTGACAAAGTGGAGCTGTACAACATCATCCCATACAATCAACACATGCATGAAATTTGGTGGTAACAATATCAATTTCATTCTTCTTCTTTGAGGGGTATCCGTATTTCCTTATAACTCAACCCGCCCCCCCCCCATTACGCAAACAAAATCTCCATGTCCACCCTTCTGCCTCTCTCTCTCTCTCTCTCTCTTTTTTTCTTTAAAAAAAAACAGCAATTACACCGCCAACCAACCGGGCCCTCAAACCCCTACATCACACACTCTTCCCCACACCCCCCTCCTCCTCCTCTCTTCTCTTCTTCTTCTTCTTCCTCCTCCTCTCCTCCTCCTCCTTCCTCCCCTTATCCTCCGCCCCCTCTTTCGCCCCCTCCGCCCTCTCGGCGCCGCCGCCGCCGCCGCCCACCCTCTCCCTATCCGCTAGGACGGCGCCCTCATCCGTATCGAACGCCTTGCGCTTGCGCTTCAACTCCTTGTCTGTCTCGAGCATCTCGCTCACCCTGCCCAGCTTGCCCGTGTCCCTGCGCAGCATGAACTTGAAGTCGTCGAGTTTGATTTTCGCGCGCCGCGCGTGGTGCGCCACCGACGCGGCTTCGTGGCATGTTTCGATGATGTAGTCGGTTATGATTTCGTCGAGGACGCGCACCGTTTCGGGGAGCGGGTAGTCGTTGTCGCCGAAAGCAAGGAGGAAGGCTTCTACTGTGTTTTTTTTACTTCCGGGTTAGTTTTTGTATGTGTGTATGTGTGGAAAGTGAGGATGGATGGGAGGGAGAGAGAGAGAGAGAGAGATTTACAGTCTTGCGTGGGGAATTGCTGGCCTTTTTGGCGCAGGCGCATACGCGGTTCCGTCATGTTTTGCGGTGATGGAGAGAGTGCGCGCGCGCGCGAAAGGCGACGACGACGACAGCGACGGCGCTGGCTTGGATGGCGTTGAGGCTTCGTATCTAAACCGCGTCGAGATTGTTGCTTTGTATCTTTATCCTCGGCGTTTGCAAGTGATGAGTCTTTTGCATACAAAATGAGTTATATCGCCTCTATCACACGCGATAAGTCGTTTCCTTTGTTCAGTCGTGGGTTTCCAAAAGCAAGCAGCGCCGCCCACCGCGCCGCAACCTTGCAATGACGATCGAAAGGGCGGGTCAGCACCAAGCAGCGCACTGGCCCCCCCCCCCCTCCGTCCGCCGCGGAAACCAACACCCACCCACATGTTACATGCGACATACACACAAGTACAGTTAACTACAAACTTCACCCTTTTCCTCTCCTTTTTTTTTTCCTTCTCTCACCACACATAAATCGCACAAAACCTCCTCAGCGCAACAATCATGGTACCATCCCTCGCATCCTTCTCCGCAACCTCCTCCCCCCAAACTAACACATGCACCATTAGACGGCCCTCTTCAACTTCCAATCCCTCCTCCTCGTCATCCTCCTCACAATCTGCACCTCGGCATACGCGCACTCGGTCTTCCCTGGCATAATCGATCGCAACAAGGAAAACTGGATTGTGTCGCCCTTGTGGAAGGCGGCGAGGGTTGGCGAGCGCTTGAGTCCATATGTTAGTATTGCGTGTGTGGTTATGGCTGTGAGTTTTTTTCTTCTTTCTTTTTCTTCCTTCCTTCCTTCTTACACTTTTTTGGGGGGGGATTTCAGCCATAGAGTTGTATGCGACGAGGGGCAAAGTGGCTGGTGTTTGTCAAGGAGGAAGTTTCCAACCAACTGACGTCCAAAAAATAGGCACTCGAGTTTATGGGATGAGCAAGAAGATGAGGTTTAATGTGGATTTCTTCTGTGCGGCAAGTGGGATGGTATGCTGTATTCTTTGAACAGTAAGATGCCAGCTACCATGGGCGTGTTTCCTTAAAGCGAGGCGTTATGGGGGAAGTGTTTTGTATAATATTCAAGAGCATATCGTGGCATCATCTCTAAAACACATGTCATCTCTTCGCACAAACACCAACATCAACATATTAAACTCAAGGCACAAACACTTCAAAAAAACAAAGTCTAAAGTGCAGAGCGTCATGAGATTAAAATATATACAGGGCAAGCGAGATTTCACACTCGCAGACTTTTGCTGACCCGTTCGAAAGTCAACCGTGTATTGGGGAGCACAAAAGCAAAAAAAAAAGTGTACCAGCACCCCGAAATCCATCTAAACCACCCCAGCAGCAAATTTCCGACCAAAGAACACCAATTGTTCCATACAGGGGATGATAATACACGACGTTTCCAGCGCCTTACTCAACACCTTGGGAGGCGCGCGTGAGATGAGATGTCTGACTGATTTTGTTGAATCATGAGAACAAAACATAAAAAGACAGAGCAATACAAAAAAAAGACGAAAAGCAGAACAATTCCACTGTCCTGACCAGCGGACCTCCCTGTCCATTGCTGGCACCCGTGTATAATGAAGATGAAGAAGAAGAAGAAGAAAAAAGAGAGGAAAAGGAGAAGAATAACATCGTTCAAGGACATGGGCATTATTGGGGGGAAAGGGCGTAATGGACAAGGAGACATTAACAGGACAAGCCGGACCTAACTCGCTCGTTCCTGCTTAATGCTCACGACTGGCCTCGCCCTTTTCAAAACACCCGTGCAATCCTTGCCGAGAGCCCCTACGTTCTTGCACACCTTCAACGTCGCTCGAGTCTTCGACCATGACGTGAGTGTCAAGAGCAAGGTCAGGTTGACTGTGCGCATCATCTGCATCGTCGTCATCATCGTCATCATGATCGCTAACTAGACCCGGGTTCGACTCGACTGTGTGAGGGCTAAGGTCGACGGGCGAGCGTGGCATGTCATCGTGTCCTTGAGGCTTAATGGGAGATGGGAGAGACATGGGAAGGCGTGCATGGCTTGGATGGGAACCTTTCTTACTGCCTGCCCTTGCCGGAGTTTTGCTTGCAGGAGCACTAGCAGGGAGACGGGCTAGGTGGGGAGCAACGGTTGTTACCGGGGTCGGCGCAACACTAGTGTCTGCACTGTCGTCATCCGAGGTGTCTATCGCATCCAGATCAATCTTGGACCGGGCCGTCTCTAGAATCTCCTTGAAGTCACCCTGAGCACCGCTGTTTTGGAAACGGGCTGCCAGGTAAGGGGTCGATGATGTCTTGATGAAGCTAGAAGGCGGGGCAGATTTGGACTCGCTGGAAGATGGAGCATTCAACTGACGGTGCACTTGTGGAGCGTGTGCAACAGGTGCGGCTTGAGATGCGAGCGGGTGAACAATACCAGAGGTAGCCGGAGTAGGAAAGGGCACTGTCGGCGTTGCTGCAGGCATGCTGGCAGGCTCAGTGGCCGCAACAGGATTCGCGCCGTCATTGGGCTCGACAGGTACACCGCAGGCAATAGCTGCAGCATCGTGGCTCTTGAAGACTTGGTTGTGCTTGATGCGGCAGTGGTTGAGGAAGCCCTGAGTGTTTGAAAAGTTGCTGTGGCCGCACTGAGCACAATAGAGGCGCACCCACTGGCCGTCGGTGGATCGCTTGTGCAACAAAGGATCTATCTTTGGCGCTGGTGCTGGAGTTTCACCAAGAGGGGTGAGCTTCAACATTCCAGTCGAAGTTCGCGACGTGCGGCCTCTGTGAGCTGAGCCGTAGTCAGCAAAACTGCCGCGCGTCGTCCTGCCCTCACCAGTACCGAAGTAACCTTGAGCCTGCTGGGCGAGCGCACGCTCCGAGGCGGGATCAAACTTGACGTCCGAGATGAGCCATTTTGCGTAGTGGCGAGTGTAGGGACCGTCAGTGACTCCCCAAGGGGCAGCATACGGGGGCTGCGTGTAGCCTGCACTTGGCTGCAAAGACGGACCTATGCCGAGGCTGACATTGACATCGAGACCCTCGGTGCCTGGGAAAGGAATGAGAGAGCAGCGCCTGAGTTGCTCGAGCGAGACTTGGCATTTGGCTAGCTCCTGTTCAATCAAGCGTAGTTCGTTGTGCTTGAGCAAGATCTCGTAGTTGATTTGAGCCTCAATAGCTTGCTGCACAGGGGTTAAACCAGAGTCCATGGTGGTGGTGGTAGTAGGAGTAGTAGTAGATGCAGGTGAGGTGGTGGAGTTTGGTTGAGCAGGCCGCTGCTGAGGGGCTGAAGGCTTGCTCTTGGTCTCTTTGGTTGCAGGCAGCGCCTTTGGCCTGGCGTCGGGAACGTGGGCAGCAGCAGCAGGTGCAGGTGCAGAGGCAGAGGCAGCAGCAGCAGGTGCACTTTGCACCGACGGCTTCATGTCACCGTGAGCATCTTTCCACTTCTTTACTACATGCGCGTGGTGCGCGGGCGAGGGCTCAGGACTGTCTGTCCTTTTCCGCTTGATCTTGCTCATGAAGGCTGGCATGTCGACGACGGGCAGCGGCCTCTGCTTGTGCAGGGCAGACTTTTCCATGATTTTGTCGCCAGGCGACTCGTTACACCATGGGAGGCGGAACATGGACTGCATTGCGAGAGAGGAGAGAGCCTAAAAGCAACAGAGGTCATCTGTCGTTGTGAGGGGCGTGTGCATCGAAGGTCGGGGAGCTAGTGGAGCTGCGAGATGACGTTGCAGCAGTCGCAGCAGCGGGCGCGCAGAGTCGGAGGCAGCACTTGCGCAGGAAAGACGGGGGATATTAAAAGGGGTTACGGGGACTTGAACAGGGTGCGAAGGAGTGCAGGAAGAGAAGCAACCAGCAGTTAAGCCGTTGCGATGATGACGTGGAGGGCAAGAGGCGCGCTGATCGGGCCACTTGATAAGGAGGAAAACAGGCGCACCAGCACGACGACAAGTCTGGGGGGACGGGCAGCAGCCGTGGATCCAGGAGGCGTCGAGGGGGATTACAGAGGGTGAGTGCTACAAGAAGCCGCGGTGAGGCGTGGTGGTGGTGGTGATGGAGATGGTGGGGGGGGAGGGGAGAGAAGGGGCGAGAAGGGGGTTGTGGTGGGGAGGGGGGTGGTGAGGTGCCAGGCGGCGATGATGTTGTGATGAAGGGCGACAGTGACAACGAAGGTCTGGGGGGAGGGCGGCGGCGAAGGCAGACACGGACGCAGACACGACGGGGCAGGCAATGAGAGCGTTTCCGCAGGTATGGGCTGCACCAAGCGGCGCTAGCAGGGGGCCCCCGGTCTGGCTGGCCGGTTGGGGCCTGGCGCGGGTGCTGCAGTTGCTGTGGTCTCAGAAAAGCAGGCAGTCCGGCGATAGCAAAACGCAGGCGCAAAAAGAACAAAGTAAAAAGCCCGCCCACGCCGGCCACTCGACCTCGCCTCCCCGCCGCCTCACTGGCGGCCGCTGCACGCCCACTAGGCATTTACTTTTGCGCCCCAGTCCGCGCGCCCCGATATATGTAAGTACGTACATGGGCCAGATGGATGCAGCGAGTGCGAGCGAGTGCGAGGGGATCCACGGCCAAGTCGCTCACCGAGCCAAGGGCGCGCGTCGGCTGAGTCGCTGCCAGCAAACGTCCAGCGACTCAAGTTGCGTCTCAGCACCGTCATGGCATGGCCCGCGGGACTTTGCTGCTGTGTGCGCTGACATGTGCCTTTTCTGCTTTCCATGTGCGTCAATCAACTCGGCACCGACGACGGCCTTGTCTGCTTGCCATGCCAGACGGAAGTGTCGGATCGCCAGTGGATCGGCAGGGTGCACTGTTTGGGCGACGATGCAGCAGCTTAGTTGCCCGAGAAACAAGGCGCAGCATGGAGCCAGGGCTGCAGGCTGAGTTCGGTGAGGCCTACTGAGCATCTACACAATAGCATGTAGTCCTCGTACACCTAGTCTCCTGCTACACAAGGCCCGCTCCATGGTGCTGGTGCTGGTGCTGGTGCTGGTACTGGTGCTTGGTACCGGTCCTCTCCACACAACCCGCCCTAGCCTGAAACACCCTCAA